TGTCGGTTTCGTGTATCTGTGTCCGTTGACGGGTTTGTACAGAACTTGTACCACAACTGTACATCACTTTTGTATCTAGTACTGATAATCCATAGTACATACATTATTGAAAATCACTTCACTTGAATAGTTCTCTTAATACATCGTCCCAAAAGAATCCTATACTTCACTTATCCTTTGTTGATATGACTCATCCGGGGTTTCATCGGCCCGATAAGCGAAATGGGAACTGATAAGCATCGCTGCCCCTCGGAAAATATCTCTCCACCCCCACCATTGCCTTTTGAGCTTCAGATCGATCAATTATGGATCCGGCAAAGCCCACCGAGCTTCCCGAGCGGCCCAAAGTGGCCGCCCCGGCTGAAGGCGCCCCCGCCGAAGCAGGTCCGTCCAAGAAGGCTTTGAAGAAACTCCAGAAGGAGAAGGAGAAGGCCGAGAAGAGGGCCGCCGAGGGCCCCAAGCCCAAGGCTCCCAAAGCCCCCAAGGCCCCTAAAGCTGCCAATGAGGCTCCTGCGCCCCGCGACCCCGACGCCATGTTCAAGGTCGGCTTCCTGAACGACGTGTACCAGGAGAGACCCATCTCCGAAACCCATCCCAAGATCCGCACTCGTTTCCCGCCCGAGCCCAACGGTTTCCTCCACATCGGACACAGCAAGGCCATTGCCGTGAACTTCGGCTTTGCTCGTCACCACGGAGGCGAGTGTATTTTGCGCTTTGACGACACCAACCCCGCCGGCGAGGAAGAGCGATACTATAATGCCATTCGCGACATTGTGTCCTGGCTCGGCTTCAAGCCCGTGCGCGAAACACACGCCAGTGACAACTTCGATCGTCTCTACGAGCTCTCCGAGGAGCTTATCCGTCGTGACGGCGCTTACGTCTGCCACTGCACCAAGGCCGAGGTCAGGGCTCAGCGTGGTGAGGGTGAGGGCGGCCAGCGTGGCGGCCAGCGCTTTGCTTGCCCCCATCGCACACGTCCCATCGAGGAGTCTCTGGCGGAGTTCCGCGCTATGCGCGATGGCAAATATAAGACCGGAGAGGCTGCTCTACGCATGAAACAGGATTTGGAAGACCCTAACCCACAGATGTGGGATTTGTTCGCGTGGCGCATTCCCGAAGGCGAGAAGGAGCACCACCGTACTGGTTCAAAGTACAAGATGTACCCAACCTACGACATGGCCCACGGCGTCTGCGATAGTATCGAGGGGATCACCCACTCGCTGTGCACAACGGAGTTCGAGCTCTCGCGCGTTTCTTACGAATGGCTGAACAACAAGCTCGATATCTACCGTCCCATGCAGCGTGAATACGGTCGTCTCAACATCACCGGAACCGTCCTCTCCAAGCGCAAGATTATCCAGCTAGTTAAGGAGGGCCACGTGCGTGACTGGGACGATCCTCGCCTGTATACCCTCATCGCCCTGCGTCGCCGTGGTGTCCCCCCTGGTGCCATTCTCTCCTTCGTCAACGAGCTCGGAGTCACCAAGGCCGTCACCAACGTGCAGATGGTCAGATTCGACCAGAGCGTCCGCCAGTATCTGGAAACCACCGTTCCTCGTCTGATGGTCGTCCTCGAGCCTCTGAAGGTCATCATCGATGACCTTGCCGATGACCACCTCGAAATGTGCGAGGTTCCCTTCTCCAAGGACCCCGTCTTCGGCACCCACACCGTCCCCTTCACCAAGACCGTGTATATTGAGCGCTCCGACTTCCGCGAAGTCGACTCTGCCGACTACTTCCGCCTCGCCCCCGGCAAAACCGTTGGCCTCCTCAAGGCCCCTTACCCCATCACCGCCACCTCCTTCGAAAAAGACTCCAACGGCGTCGTCACAGTCGTGCACGCCAAATACGAAAAGCCCGCCGAAGGCGAGCCCGCCATTCGTCCCAAGACCTTCATCCACTGGGTTGCTGAATCCCCCGCTCACAACAGCCCTATCAAGGCTGAGGTCCGCGCCTTCAACCCACTCTTCAAGTCTGAGGATCCCTCAGCTCACCCGGGCGGTTTCCTCGCTGATATCGATCCCGAGTCTGAGCAGATCTACCACGGCGCTATGATTGAGACTGGCTTTGAGGATATCAGCAAGTCTGCGCCTTGGCCTAAGGATGCAGCTGAGGGTGATGTTAAGAAAAACAAGCATTGTATCCGGTTCCAGGGTATGCGGACTGCTTATTATGCTGTTGATCGTGAATCTTCAGATGACTTGTCCAAGGTTATTCTTAACCGTATTGTCACTTTGAAGGATACTCAGGGTAAGAACTAGATGTTTTTCGTTGGGGTTTGGTGGTTAGGTTGGTGATGTTGGGAGGTGTTTTATATGGATTCATGACCATTGCATTTTGTTCGTTTCAGCTAGGGTTCGGAAAATGGAGAAATACACACATATCAGGATTTACCAGGTTAATTATCTGGAGATCTCATCGATTATCTTGTTCTTTCTATTTCTTCAAGTCGGTTTATGGCTTTGGGAGTCAACAAAGCCGTAGAGTGGATGACAAATGCCTATGGACCTACTTCCTACCATGATCTTCCATGATGAACTCTACATCAGCTACGTACGAGTAGTTGCTCACAAGCCACCAATGAAGCTGTCTACGTGCGCTAATGTTGAGGGATAATTGATAGTCTCTCCTCCAAGAAAACAGGGAAAGTCTTGACATTGCCAGTCTAAGATCATCATGTTATTTGGTTTAGAGGCAACCGCCCACCTGCATAGCGAATTACCGGCTATTCAAGCCGCAGAAACGTACATACATGACCGAGACCAGAATCAAGGAACATAATAAGAGACGATAATAGAGAAAGGAAAAATAATAAGGCGTAATGCCCAGAGACATCTAGACATAGATACCCATGTTGGTATCCTTCTTCTTGGCCTGGACCTCGGCGATAGCATCGACGTAGTTCTCATGGCCAACCTTGCTCATTCCCTTCCGCAGGGCAATCATACCAGCCTCGACGCAGACAGCCTTCAGCTGCGCACCGCCGAACTCATCCGTCGACCGGGCCAACTCAGCCCAGTTGACACTGTCCTCGACGGACATCTTGCGCGAGTGAATCTGCAGGATGTTGGCACGGGCTTCCTCGTTAGGCAGAGGGAACTCGATCTTGCGGTCCAGACGACCGGAACGCAGCAGAGCAGGGTCCAGAACATCGACACGGTTAGTCGCGGCGAGGACCTTGATGCGGTCGTCGGAGGCGAAACCATCAAGCTGGTTTAGGAGCTCCAACATCGTTCGCTGCACTTCACGGTCACCGGACTTTTCGGAGTCGAATCGCTTTGTGCCGACGGCGTCAAGCTCGTCGATAAAGATGATTGAGGGGGCCTTCTCCTTTGCCAAAGCGAAGCAGTCGCGCACCAACTTGGCTCCGTCACCGATGAACATTTGCACCAGTTGAGGACCGGCGAGCTTGAGGAAGGTTGCGTTTGTCTCGGCGGCACAGGCTCGGGCGAGGAGTGTTTTACCGGTTCCGGGAGGTCCGTACATCAGAGCACCTGTAAGATGTAAGCGATTTCGTTAGTTTGCGAAAAAAAAAAACAACACAATATGATAGGGATGAGCTGATATACCCTTCGGGGCCTTGATGCCAATCTTCTTGAACCGCTCAGCCTCCTTCATGGGCCATACGATAGCCTCGACGATCTCCTCGATTTGCTTGTCCAGACCACCAATATCCGTATACTTCTCCGTCGGCTTCTCGTCGACCTCCATCGCCTTAACGCGGTTATCATATTCGGCAGGTAGTGTGTCCAGGATGAGATATGAGTCCTTATTCACACCGATCAGGTCACCGGGCTTCAGCAGCGTGTGGTCAACCAGGCCGATCAGGGGAAGGAAGATAGTTTGACGTGTCGAAGTCTTGATGACGGCGGATTTGCCGACACGAGTGGCGTCCAAGTCGATGTTGGCCCCTTCCTCTGCGGCTTCGGCCTCCACGTCAAGGTCCAGGAGCTCGACGACGTTTCCAACGAGATATGGTAGTTGCCTTTTAGAAAGCGAATTGATGTTAGCATCGATAGAATGCAGTGTTCGTTTGGCTGGGGCTTTTCAAAGCTCCGCGGAGCCCTGTGTGGAGGTCGCGATGAGGATCCGCCCGGGCCATCATAGAAATCGTACCTGTTGTTCTCGATCTTTTCTTGATTATCCTTGACCTTTTCCCTCATCGTGCTTTGCTCGTGTGTCAACCGCTGGAACTCGCTCTTCATGATCCGCATTTCGTTCTCCAGCATCCTCCGTCGCTTGACGATGTCTGCTGTGCTAGAGTGCAGGATTTCCTCATCCAAGAGCTCTTCCTCATCATCTTTCTTCTCGGCATCTTCCATCTCGGCATCATCGTCGCCGCCGGGCTTCTTGCCGTCATCGCCCTGGTCCTGCTTCTTGTCTCTGGTCTCACGCTCCAGGTCCTCGAGGTCCTCGAGGGTCGACATGATGGGCGGGAATTCGAAAAGGAAGTGACGATCGGATGGAATTAGAAATAACCTATTGAGAAACGGATGGCCGGTTTGGAAAGGGTGGATGGAGGTGAAGGGATCGCAGGTTGGAGAAGAGCTGTCGGTGGCCGAGCTCCATCAACGTCAGCCGTCACGTGATGCCATCAACAGTGTATTCTACATTTTTGCTAATCTGCTTTCTCGATACATCATTCAGGCTAAGCACTTCTTGAAAACTATGTCCGGTAATAATTTGCCGGTCTGGACTTAATAGATGGAGTATGGGCTGTCTTCAGATTTCGATGCCCACGTGCTGCCGAGATTGTTCAACACCTTCTCTCGCCCATACCTGAGGAGGCGGAATCGCGAGACAAAGTCGTCATTGTTGACTATTCCATACCGTTAGTAAGATCATTAGAGTCATACCCTCGACAGAAAATAATGAGGCATCATTAGATACGTACCGTAGCCACCACACATCCTTCTCTTCCCAGTAAATTCAGAGCGGCCATGTAACATTCGCCAGTTATCAAAGACTAGAGCACCAGTCAATCAGCTTGATCATAAGTGTCAGATTAGTGCAAACTCACTCAATGCCGTTCCAGGTTCGAGTTGCCTCCATATCTGCCGGTTCGTTTCTTGCAGTATCTTGTTGTAACGTGCAGCCGCCTTGTACCACGCCTGCTGCTGATTTATATTCCAGTCACTTTTCGGTGCCCGATCATAATTGTTCCAGCGAACTTGGTAGACAGTATTCATGTCCGGGTGAACGGAAAGTACCGGGGCGCGAGAAGAAGGCTGGATGCAGACGTCTTCGTTCCCGCTTGCATGCCAAGGATGCCGGTAACGTATCAAGGCCTGGTAGGATTGAGGGTATCTTTCACGAAGTTGGCGAGCAGCCGCGTATCCATCAACCAACAAGCTGGCCCCGCCATCTCCATCTGTGTGGGACAGAAGATGGAAGAGCTGAAGTCTTGCAGGGTCCGTGAAATAGGTGTTGTCGGTATGGGCGCCCAAGAACTCGTTAGTATATGCGGTGTCTTTAAAGGTGAGATCGGCAGTAAAATCCCAGAAGCCGCCTATAGGCCATGGTTAGCTGATACAAAGCAGGCGGTTATAATGGTTCCAACATACCATAGTGCGTGTGACGAATAAAAGCAATTCTTTCGATTAAAGTCTTGGTAGACTCGGGGTCGACAGGAACACCTTTGACAAAACAGAATCCCCATTTCCACTGGATTTTATCTGTAAGTATATATTGAAGGTTTCCGGTATGAATAATATGTGGTGACTTACGATATTCTCCAACCACTCTAGCACAGATGCATCTTTCGACATCACATCTGTGTAGTGTACCTCGGGGTAGCCTTCCTCCTTGTCGAGCAAGAAGAAGGATTGATATCTGTAATTCGAAATTAGAAAATAGGCAAGTCTATTCACGACATTTTGTAGTTACCTGACACGGGGCAAGCCTTCGAACCCTCGCACTTTTGAGTGAGGATTCTTGTTTTGCTGGTGGGCGAAGAGCCAGTCCCACGAGTAGGTGCTTTCATGGTCATCGGACCCTGGATATGCATCAGTCATAGTACCTCTCTGGGGATACAAGCTGTTCGAAAACTCACATTTGATTTTCACGTCACTTTCGGTAGTTTCGGCTGCTTGAACCTTGACGTCCTGCGGAATCTAGCAACGTGTAAGCTTCCGAAGCTAGAATGGTCTAGCGGGTGGGATACCTTGAAAGTGTCGACAATCCTCTGCTTCGTGTCCGGATGGACACACGTAGAGCATTGGCAGTTTTCTCTAGTTATTCGGACTTTGTCAATCAGAGTTCCTCTTATAAGCTTTTGTCCTCGAGACTCACCTCAGGAAAAACGGCCCACTGTAAAACCATGTAAGTATAGATGTATTCAAACAAGTCTTTGGTTTTTTAAGGTTACTGACAATTGCAAATAGGGCATTTCCTTACGCGCCATTTTACCTTGGGTTTTGATAACGACGTATCCCTGTGACCGAATCTTGTTGGCGTTGAGCTGGTCATTCTCATCTGTGAATGTGTTGATAGGCCAGTTCTCCATCGGATCACTTGCTTTTGCTACGTGAGAAATCGCGCGGACGCCAACAGGGGATCGCGAGCCGAAGGCTCCCTCAGTGGGGTAAGAAGCCACACTCCGAGGTCGAATAGTCTGTCGCAGCAACGAAGGAAGAACATACGGTAAGCTATCAAATAGAATTGAAGTCTAAGTCGATCAAACGGATGTATGACCTACCAATTGGCTGCAGTGAGATGCATAGGATCGTGCGATGTGGAATCTGATTGGTAGATTAGCCTCGGCATCGCAGTTACCGGTTAATTGAGCATCATACCTGGCATTGCTCTTGAGAGCAGCCGCCCGAAGCACTGCGAAGCTACTCACACTCATTTATAGGATCTTGGAAGCTGAACCTGCGTTTCTGGTATTTGAACGTTGAAAGGCGGAGCGGACATGTGAATCTGGGGAGAGGCCTAAGCGGGGGCCAATGGTCACGTGAGGGTTGATAGGTTGGGCTTGATCTTGTTTCCAAGGACATAGTTGTAATGGTAATCATTTCAAGCATTTGACCGGGTCTTTACAATAACAATGCGTCTAGATTACTTCTTGGAATGATCACAGGAAAAGCTTTCTGCTCAGGTGCTTCAAACCAGTTGGTGCTCGGGCATTTTCTATGCTACTCTATACAACTGCCACCCACCTGGGTATAGATCCTGTCCCAGATTCATATACCTAGAGCTTGCTCTTATTCCCAATAACCTTCAACAGAGCGCGACCGTTGCTCAATACAACCTTGCCATTTTGGTTCTTAGTGACAAAGCGGACCTCCTCAAACCCGTCGGCCTGAGCATTGCCCATCCGCCAAATCTCAGTGGTGAGCTTGTCACCAGGGCGCACGGGAGAAGCAAAGCGAGCCTGGAACTCCTTCATGTTTGCAGAGTCGCTACCACCAAGCTCACGCAGGATACCATGGGCAGCGGAGTTCCAGCTGAAGAGGCCGTGGATGATGGTGCCGCCGAAGCCCATCTTCTGGCCGGGCTCGGGAGTGGCATGCAGGGGGTTGTAGTCGCCATTCAAACTAGATTTAAACAGTCAGCCATTATCAATTAGCTGGAATCAGACGTGCTTGGACATACCGATACAAATGGGCGGTCTCCATGGTGGTCTGAATAACGTGGATAGCATCGGGGTTCTTGCCCTCGGGAGGAGGGAAGTTAACAGTGGAAGGGCCTATAATAGCGGGTTAGTGTACATCCAATAAACACCATTGTTAGTATGAGCGTACCCTTGGGACCACCCCAGTTACCCTGGCCAACCAAAAATCCACTGGACAGAACTTTAGAGTACACCTCGCCGCTCTCCTTATCAACAATAGACTGCTCAGTCTCCATGACCGTGCCAGGCTTGCCCTTGTCATAAACACCAATGACCTTGTTGCGCAGCTCGAACTTGCGGCCCGCGCTGGTCGGGGGGAGCGGCTTCAGGACGGTAATCTTGCGCTGGCCGTCAACGCCGAAGCGGTGATCCAAGTCGGGAACACCGGGAATCTGGACGGCCTGCTGGCGCGCATAGAAATTAGTCACCTCCTGGTCGGTGAGCTTGAAGGCTAGTCAATTGAGTTCATGTCAGTGATTGGGCAGAATCAGTGTCCCACGACATGTTACGTACGAAGGATCAGCGAGTAGGTGGGGAAAACTGCGAAGTTCGGGTGCAACTCCTGAGAAACCCTGTCAAACCAGTCCACTAGGATTCCATTGACTCTGGGAGCTTACGTAGAGGAAGTGCAGCTCGTCTGCCTTGATACCGATGCTGTTGGCGAACAGGAGGACGTCGCGCTTCTGCCAGGAAACCTCCTTGGCGGGAAATTCGTGGCCAGCTCCGGGGGCAGACATATTGAAGAGTAGATATGCAGATATAACAGAAAATTGCAAAGCGAAATGCAAATAAAAATGAAACGAGGAGAATTAAGCGGAGAAGAAGGTAAAGTAGCAGTGAACAATTGCGGGGCGGCCCTGAGCCGAGGATCTGATAAGTTTTGTTACTGCTTAGCCGACGACGCGCCATAGCCTTGGCATCCCTCAATTTTCTCACCCGGTTACACTTTAAACTACGCTTAAGTCGGAGTGTATTGTAACCAAGATTGTAGACATAAGAAGCGTCGGAGTTGCTAGACTAAGCATCGACTCGGGGTATATCTACTTAGAAATCGAGGAGCTTCATAACCATCTCTCCGTATCGCGCCGTGTAATAATGCCTTTTCCCTGCCACCCAATAACAAATATTAACGCCGAGAGAGATCGAGGCCGGATAGATGTTCAATGTCCCTGTGCAAATCCAATTTGGCCCATGCTATGCTGCATTGCATTTGGTACGAGCCACTTTCCCGAAAAAAAGACGCGCAGCATCGAAAATTCATATCACGAAGAATGAGTCGTAAATCCCATTGACGAGATCAGCACATGCGGTAAGAGCAGCTGCCCTCGGCGAAGCGGGTGGGGTCATTGGTCTCGAACTTGTACGAGAGATCGATGTCCAGGTCACGCTTGTTCTTGTCATTGGGGCGGTTCTCGAGCCAGCCGGAGACCTTCTCCTCCTCCTCGATGGTAAGAACATCACGCAGGTAGAAGACGGTTTGCTTCCAGTGGGTGTACTTGGCGTGAGGACCAGTGGAGAAGGTGATGGGCTTGTGGCAGGCGCTGAACTCAATATCGAACCAGGCAATCATGGCGTGGATGAAGTCGCTGCGACGAGCGGTAAGCTGGTAGGGAACCTTGAAGGCAAGGTCGGCGACAGTAACAGTGTTCAGATCGAAAGTGATGATCGGGCAGGGATCAGTGACGAGAGCCTTCATCTCGACAGTGTCGACCAGAGGCTCAGTAAGAGCGATCTCCTTCATGGGAGAATAGTCAAAGCCGTAAACGTTGTCCCAGACTAGAGAATTATTAGCACCAAATCGAAAGACTTCATACTCGAGGCATTTGCTTACATCCAATCTTGTCATCCTTGTAATCGCCGTCCTCGATGGCAGCGACGTACATGGTGGCCTTGTCGGGGAAGATCAGACCACCGGGGTTGAGGTAGGTGTCACGGGCGTAGAGGACGGTGTCCAGCATGGATTCATAGAGAAGGAAGTAACCCATCCACTCGGAGATGATGATATCAACCTTGGGGAAGGGGAGGTGAACCTCCTCCATCTTGCCCTGAAGGAGGGTGATCTTGTCGGACAGGCCGTTGGTGGCGACGATCTCCTTGGCCTTCTCGATGATGGAGGACATGTCGACACCGATAACGTGTTTGGCACCGGCGCGAGCAGCGAACCTGATCAATACTGTCAGCCAATGGACATGTTTATCGTTGGGTTGTAGGAACGTACATGCTCAGAATACCGGTACCGCAGCCAACATCAAGGACGACCTTGTCCTTGAAGATGTGGCGGTTCTGGTAGATAGAGTCGCGATAGGAACGGGTACGGACATCATCTTTCTGTGAAAGTAGACACATCGGTCAGTGAATCGGTCCGCGTATCTCATCTCATGATAGTGGACTTACCAGCATCTCCTCGTGAATACCTGGGCGATGGCGAAGAAAACTCGTTAGTCAAGGAACACCTCAGGTTTAACACCAGAATCGAGATCATTTACCGTGGTGGTCGTAGCTGTGAATTAATTAGTGATAAGCGACAACATTTGAATAGGATCTAGGCGCCGGAAATTCTTACCTGGTGAAGTAGCGCACCTCGGAGTGCTCCATGCCAACCATGCGATCAGCACTGCTAGCGATAACGCCAGTAGGCTCGGGGGTTCCAGATCCGTCCATCTTGTCACTTGTAATGATATGGAGTGATAAAGATGAGAATGAAAGAGGGATGATAGAGGGAAAAAGACGATCAGACGAAAGATCCTAGAGAGTTTGCCCGCAACTTTTTTTTTCGAGTCCTCAGGCGCCAAGCTTCACTCCAATTCCCCGCCCGCACTAAACCGCATTTGTAGGTCACATGGTTCTTACAAGCCCTGATTCTCGTAGGGCTAATTGCTGATCTGTATACAGGGCTGCGGCAACTGCATTATCAAGTCACCAAGTATGGAATGAAGTAGTAGTAGTAGTAGTAGTCAAATGAGGGTTATTCATCTTTGCTAATCATCAGGTTGGAGTCTAAACAGGTTCACATTTTACTCTGATTGCAGCTTGAAAAGGCTTGTCACTAGAAGGAAGTAAAATAAGGATTCTACCTACCCAGACAAAAAGTTTTTTGGGCAAGTGCACGATTTATTCATGGCAACAAATTAGCCAATGTTGCAGTTAATGACTATATAGGACGGTATCAAGCATGGGACAAATAGAGTGAATGATCCCTGACGCGGGAGATGAGCTGTCAACAAGAATTGCCAAGAAAACCAAAGAGCCTCGCAATGCCGCCCGGAGCTCCGCCATCTTTCCTCCTGCTTACGCGTTTCCACCCCCCTCCCCCGGAAGCTGATCATGATGAATTTGGGCGCCTGCAGAGTGAGACCTTCCACTCTTCTAGCACTTATTTTCCTTGGGCTCTTCATTGGCCACACTACTGCCTCCTTGGGTGACCACCTCCCCGACTTCAAAGAATGTGTCCAGGTAAGCTTTCCCCAGGTCCAGGAGATCTTGCACTTCGCTGACAACCCCAGGTTTGTAAAACGGAGAACTGCCAGGGCGGCAATTCGGTACTGCGTACGTCCACCTTTCATCTTAGCTTCTTCAGCTTTCCCTTCTAACCTCGTCCAGCATTATGCCACCGCCTGTTATTATGGACCTGCCCGGCCGAGTGCGACTATACCTGCCAACATGTCATTACCGACCGCCGAGTCTCTCGTGACCCCCCGATGCTGAACCCCGTGGTTCAGTTCCACGGCAAATGGCCCTTCCGAAGAATCATGGGGATGCAGGAACCCTTTTCGGTGCTGTTTTCCTTCTTCAACTTCATGGCCCATTGGCACGGCATGTCCCGGATCCAAGAATCGATTCCCGCCTGGCACTCACTTCGCAAGTATTACATGACATTTGGATACATCGGGCTGGCCAGCTGGACCTTCAGTATGGTCTTCCATATGAGAGATTTCGGTCTGACTGAGAAGCTGGACTATTGGGCGGCCGGGGCCAGCGTTCTCTACGGTCTGTATCTGGCCGTGGTGCGCATCCTGCGCCTGGACTTGGAAACCCCAGAATACCGCCCCACTCTACGTCGCCTGTGGACAGGTATATGTATTACGCTTTACACGTTGCATGTCTGCTATCTCAGTTTCTGGTCTTGGGATTACACGTACAATATGGCCGCCAACGTCGCCGTGGGTATCGTGCAGAACCTGATCTGGACGGTGTTCAGTATCGTTCGGTACCAGAAACATCTCAAGTCGTGGACGGCTTGGCCCGGCATGATTGTTGCATGGATTATCCTAGCCATGAGTTTGGAGTTGCTGGACTTCCCGCCGTGGCATGGGTTGATTGACGCACACAGTCTGTGGCATCTTGGCACTGTGGTCCCCACTGCCTGGTGGTACTCGTGAGTTTTTCCCGAATTCGCTTTGCGTTTGTACCCTGTTCTCATTACTAATGGATTGGCAGGTTCCTCATCAAGGATACACAGGACGATATCGCAGGCCACCGACTGAAGGCGTAGATGGAAAGGTCATATACTCCCGAGTGTGAGGGTGGCATATGTGATCAAGATCAGAACATTCAGAACATGTATAACAGTAGAGCGTCCCGGTGACCCTGTTGCTAATAATAAAATAATAACTGAACACCTCCCCCACCTTTCCAGGGCTGTTGTAATTTCCACGCTCGGATCAAGTAGGTGGAGCCGTAATGCCACGTCTCGCTACCGCTGCCCAGCAACTGCATTTCCTGTTTCCCCGCGCCTCACCGCTAGGGCCGTCGCAATAAACTGGTCTCACCCCTCCCTGTTTCAAATTACCCTCCTTCAACCTTTCTCGATCTCTTTCGAGTGCACCGGTCTCGAACTCCTCTGAGCATCTTTGATTGCTGCAGATTCGCGCAATGGCGTCTCCCGCGGTTAAGAAAGCAATCTCCGAGGCTGCGCTGCAGTACCAGAAGCCCGAGGGCAAGGTGTTTGAGTATGGCACCGCCGGGGTAAGTCGCGCTAGAATCCTACATGGAACTCTACCTAACTGATCTCTTTGCGCTTGCAGTTCCGCATGAAGGCGTAAGTTTCCTCGGCCTCGACCAGCCCCGCCTCCACACCCCCGCGATCGTCCTTTTGTTGACGTGGGCTCTGACGTTGTGTGAACAGTGACCTACTCAACACTGTCGTTTTCGCTGTCGGTCTACTTGCCGGTCTGCGCTCGAAGAAGCTTAGTGGACAATGGATTGGTGTTATGGTGACTGCCAGCCACAATCCCGCGGAGGATAATGGAGTTAAGCTGGTTGACCCGATGGTAAATAATGGCCCCCACCCAAACGAATCATGGTGCAGTTTTCTGACTTGGATTTATTAGGGCGAGATGCTGGAGGTAAAATCAAAATAGGAAGACCCGCTTGGTTTGAACACCCCAATCTGACAATCTAATCTAGGCTGAGTGGGAGCAATACGCTACCAAGCTGGCTAATGCCCCTCTGGAGTCCATTGCCGATGTTTACGACGAGTTGGCCAAGGAGATCGATGTCAAGATGACCAACCCCGCTCGTGTCGTCTTTGCTCGTGACACCCGTGCATCTGGCTCCCGTCTGGTGGGTGTGCTCAATGCTGCGCTTACTGCCACCGAGGTCGAGTTCATCGACTTCAAGTACATGACCACCCCCCAGCTCCACTATGTTGTGCGGTGCAAGAACACCCTCGGAACACAATACGAGTATGGCGAGCCCAGCGAGAAGGGCTACTATGAGAAGCTTGCACAGTCCTTCCAGAAGGTCATGCGTGGAGTCAAAGTTCAAGGTAGCCTGACTGTTGACTGCGCCAACGGTGTCGGAGGACCCAAGTTGAGAGAGCTCATGAAGGTCCTTTCTGGAATTGATATTAAGGTCATCAATGACGATGTCATCAACCCTGACAGCCTGAATTTCGACGTGAGTTACCTTCCGCGCTCATAATGCTATCGCAAATAATTGACTTCTCTCAAGTGTGGTGCCGACTACGTCAAGACCAAGCAACGCGCTCCTCCCTCTTCTAAGGCCGGCGTCCTTGATCGCTGCGCCTCTCTGGACGGCGATGCTGATCGTCTGGTGTACTACTTCCAGGATGAGGGTAACGTGTTTCGTCTTTTGGACGGTGATCGCATTGCCACTCTTGCTGCCTCTTTCATTGGCGACCTTGCTCGCAACGCTGGCATTGCCCAGAAGCTGAAGATTGGTGTTGTCCAGACTGCCTACGCCAACGGCGCCAGCACCGACTACATTGAAAAGGTGCTCAAGCTCCCCATCATCTGCACCAACACCGGTGTCAAGCACCTTCACCACGCCGCTCTCCGCTTCGACGTCGGCGTCTACTTCGAAGCTAACGGCCACGGCACTGTTACCTTCTCCGAGAATGCCATGAAGACTATCAAGAACGCCGAGCCCCAGTCGCCGGCTCAGCAGCACGCCCTGGAGTGCCTCCAGGCTCTGACCGACCTGATCAATCAGGCTGTCGGCGATGCTCTCTCCGATATGCTTCTCGTCGAGGCCATCCTTGCCCACAAGGGCTGGTCCCCCAAGGAATGGCTGGGCACCTACACCGATCTGCCCTCCCGCCTTGTACGCGTCGTGGTCAAGGACCGGTCGATCTTCAAGGCCTACGACGCCGAGCGCAAGCTCGAGTCCCCTGCCGGTCTTCAGGGCCAGATTGAGTCCTTGATGTCTCGATACAACAAGGGCCGCAGTTTCGCCCGTGCCAGTGGTACCGAGGATGCCGTTCGTGTCTACGCTGAGGCTGCTAGCCGGTCCGAAGCAGACGATCTGGCTACTCGCGTTGCCAACGCTGTTGGCGAGGCTGGCGTCGCTGATCCCTCGGCCTAAATAGCCTTGGCGCTGGCAAATGGGCCCCCAAAAGATCTCGACAGAAAACAGTCGACATCATTTGATGCAGTAATGAAATTATCATCACTATCTCACTCCCGTAGAGCTTGAGTTTTCCAATACAATACACAGTTTTTCAAGTAGACAACTTTTATGCTTCTATCCTAAAACAATGGACATTAATTCATATAAAGCGAAGAGGAAGAGCCAAGCTGCTCCGATGGGCCAGCCCATTAGCCCTCCTCCTGATCCATCTGGTCGCGACCACGCTTGCCCTTGCCGAACTTGTTACCTCTCGTGCCCTTCTTTTCGTCATAGGCCTTCATCTCCATAATAGCCTGCCGCTGTGCCTCGCCAACGCGCTCAGCAAGAACCATAACCTCATCCTTGGTGGCATCATACTCATCGAGCTGCTTGCCCAACGCAGCCTCGATACGCTGCCAGATCTCCACATCGTATTGCGTCACAAAGCTAACCGCAACACCACTCTTTCCTGCACGGGCGGTACGACCGACACGGTGAATGTAGGTCTTGCTATCAGTGGGAAGATCGAAGTTAAGCACGACATCAACAGACGGAATATCCAGACCACGAGCAGCAACATCGGTAGCAACGAGAATGTCTCGGCTGCGGGAACGGAACTTGCCCAGAGCCCCCAGACGCGAGGATTGAGAGAGTTGGCCGTGGAGCGGGATAGCGCCGAATCCGAGGGTGCGCAGGAGGACAGCAACGCGCTGAGTCTCGTGTACGGTGCGGGTGAAGACGATGGCAGATTGGCCGACGAACTCGTTGAGAAGGTAGACAAGGTAAATATCCTTGTGCTTGTGCGGGCGTAGGAGGAAGGATTGCTGTAGGGTCGAGACGGTCTGATACTTGGTCGAGACGGAGACTCGCATCGGGTTCGACAGGGAAGCACGCTGCAGAGACTCGACCTTGGAGCTGAGTGTAGCGGAGAACAAGAAAGTGCGACGCTCGCGGGGGAGGACCTTGAGGATCTTGTCGAGGATCGGACCAAAGTCCATGTCTAGCAGTCTGTCTGCCTCGTCCATGACCCTATTACCTGGTTAGTATAGGAAATTTAGTTCTGGAATGGAGAACAAACAAGTATTTCATTCCTCGGAGGCTGAATCCCTTCGTATTCTCCAGGTGATCGAGAAGACGACCAGGTGTTGCGACAATGATGTGAGGCTTCTTGCCCAGGGCGATGGATTGTGGGACCATATCCATTCCTCCGACGATAACAGCGGTGCGAACTCCGATAGTTGAGCCTAGAGTCTCGAACGAGAGGGAGATCTGGTAGGCTAATTCACGGGTCGGGGCGAGAACCAAACTGAAGAGGGGTTGAGGCTTTTCCATAAGAGCCTGCAAGATGGGGAGAGCAAAAGCTGCTGTTTTTCCACTACCAGTCTCGGCCAGACCGATCAAATCGCGGCCCTGGAGAGCCAACGGAATGGACTCCGCTTGAATAGGTGTAGGCGCCTTGTAACCCATAGTTTCACAGGCTTCGCAGAGAGAATCGATAATTCCTAGCTCTTTGAATGACTTGGGAACGGCAGTAGTTGTATCCTCGGCGCTGGCATCGACTTCATCGGGCTTGGGCGCCTCCTCGCCGGACTGGGAGTGGGTAGAACTGGCATCGCTTTCCTCGACAGGCGCAGGCGCCTCCTTGGCGACCTTGCGCTTCTTGATCGGAGGCATTTTTGGTGAATTTATCGAACTTGAAAAAAGCTGCACTGCTCGCGATCTCGAAATAATTTAAGGTGGGTCCGCATCATCATTGATCCGCGTCTCCGCCTGGATTTTTTGGAGACAAAAAAACTTCGGTTTCAACTCATCGAGCTTGATTAAGTCAACCGTTTTTTTTTGGACCGGTTTTTTGCTTTGCATATCTCACAATGGCAAAGGCACGTGTTAAGAAGCGCACTCATCTGCGTGCGCAGAATGCTTCCGCTGCTTCCAAAGGCAGCGGTGCTATCCAGAGCAAGGCACCCAAGTCCATGGTCATTCGTGTCGGCGCTTCCGAAGTCGGTACCAGTGTCAGCCAGCTTGTCAAGGATGTTCGTCATATGATGGAGCCTGATACGGCTGTGCGATTGAAGGTATGGCACCAATTACACTCTGTCCTCTGTTCTGCAAGCTTAATCTAACATTTTAATTAGGAACGTCAATCCAACAGACTGCGGGATTATACCGTAATGGCCGGCCCCCTCGGTGTCACACATTTGATGCTTTTCTCTAAGTCCAGCACTGGAAACACCAATATGCGACTCGCTGTCACACCTCGCGGCCCGACCCTCTACTTCAAGGTCGAGCAATACTCCCTCTGCAAAGATGTCGAGCGCTCGCAAAAGCGTCCCCGAAGTGGTGGACAGGATCACAAGACACCGCCGCTGTTGGTTATGAACAACTTCAACTCGCCCGATGCCACCGAGGATTCCAAAGTGCCGAAGCGCCTCGAGACCCTTACGACGACTATCTTCCAATCCCTTTTCCCTCCGATCAACCCCCAGGCCCAGCCTCTTTCTTCCATCCGCCGAGTTATGCTTTTGAACCGTGAGAAGTCGAATGACGATGATTCCTACGTGATTAGCCTCCGACACTATGCTATCGTCACAAAGAAGACCGGATTGTCAAAACGCATTCGTCGCCTGGACCCTAAGGAGATTCGCAACAGAGATAAGAAGGCTGCTGTGCCGAACCTTGGCAAGCTTGAGGATGCTGCCGACTACCTTCTCGACCCGTCCGCCGCTGGTTACACATCTGCCAGTGAGACCGAGCTGGACACGGATGCCGAGGTGGAGGTTGCTGAGAGCACGACCCGCCGAGTCCTGAACAAGCGTGAAGCCCAGCGCCAGAAAGCTGGTGAGAATACCGAAAAGAAGCCTACTGTTCCCGGCGTTGAGAAGCGGGCCGTCAAGCTGGTCGAACTCGGACCCCGCATGAAGCTTCGTCTGATGAAGGTCGAGGATGGTGTCTGTGATGGCCGGGTTATGTGGCACGACTTTATCAAGAAGAGTGAGAAGGAGATTAGGCAGCTCGATCAGAACTGGGCTGTGAAGAGGAAGGAGAAGGCGGCGCGTAAGAAGCTGCAGAGAGAGAACATTGAGAAGAAGAAGAAGGACAAGGCCAAGGCCCGGGCTAATGGCGAGAAGGTTGAAGATGATGAGGATGTCGATATGTATGAGGATGAGTGGCTCAGTGACGACGACGCCGAGGGCGCTGAGGACTCGGATGAGATGGAAGAGTAAGGTCTCTCGAATTTCTACTTTTATACCCTCGGTGGTTCAACTGTACATTTTTCATGGAGTATGTGAAGAAAAGTTTTGGAACAGGAAAATCTGCATGGCGCTTTCGTCTTGATTTCAGATCCTCATTAATGGCATGACTCGTTTTTATAATTTCTTCCTTTTATTTCTTGAGCTTCTCCTCGACCAGACGGCCAACCATCTTCTCGAGAATAGCAAAATCGCCTCCTGAAGTGCCGGCGAAGTAACCCTGTACGCTCTTCTCGACGTACTTGCCCACAATGTCAATCTCAACGTTGACAAACTCACCCACCTTCTTTCCAGCTGTAACCACCTTCTCCTGGGTATAGGCAATAAGCATCACCTCCCAGAAACCATCCTCACCATCCACAACCTTAGTCACAGTCAAGCTGGCCCCGTCCAGGGTAACGTAGCCCTTCTCAACAACGTAACGGAGGACATCCTTATCGCGCGGCTGCAGGCGGAAGACTAGCGAGTTCCCGTCCGGCGTGACAGACAGAATCTTCGCGACAGTATCGACATGGCCCTGCACAAAGTGTCCACCCATTCGAGTATCCGCAGAGACGGCGCGTTCAAGGTTCACGAAAGAACTGGTCTGCAAATCACCGAGGTTCGTACGGCGCAGGGTCTCCGGCGCAACTCCGACCTTGAACCAGGTTTTATCGAATGCCGTGACCGTCAGGCAGGTTCCTTTATTCCAAATGAGCTTTAAATAGCGTTTCAAAGGTGTCTAGCTGCGAGATATACCATTGACAGCGATGCTATCGCCCAGGTGGCAATCGGAGAGGATCTCCTCGCAGTCAGAGATGGTGAGAGATGTACCCCCGCCCCCGCTCGACGAGGTATCGAGGGGCTCCAGGGCCGTGACGGCTGGCGAAGAAGAATTGTTAGTCTAGCTATATGATGACTATTGCGAAAAACTCACTCCCAATGGTCTCAACAAGTCCAGTAAACATGGCTGCGGGGTGATTGATCTGCAGAAAGGCAAAGGTTAGGGTCGGTCGACCTCGGCCTCGGCGCCCCGAGCGGTGTCGGCGTTTTGGCGGAGTTTCGATCTATTCCAGCGCCTTCTTAACCTTCCCCGGATTCGCTGCGACTTTCTGTCTTTTTATTTCCCAGCGTGTCGTTCACTTGGGAATTTACTATGACGGTCGTACTCAGATTTCAGGCTATTGCTCGGCGGTGGAGTCCTGCCTTGCCTCGCAATGCCTCGCGCATGTCGCCCTGGCGGAGCTTCTCTAGCTCCGTGTCGAGATTGAATGACACGCTCCCCTTATCGGGCATTCGTGTTTTGGACATGACAAGAGTTCTTGCAGGGGTGAGCTAAATTGTGTATTACTCTCCTTTTAGCTCCATACTAATTGATCCGTTTCACAGCCCTATTGTACTCAGATCTTGGGTGACTTGGGGTATGTAGAGCTATTCCAGCTCATACTGGGCTCTTTGCCTCCATTGATTATGTTCTGAAGTATTTGATGTACTAACATGTATAACAGAGCCGATGTCATCAAGGTTGAACACCCCGTACGCGGTGACGATACACGTGCCTGGGGCCCGCCATATGCGCAGTACGAGGATGGTTCATCCAAGACGGGCCCTGGTGAGAGTGCATACTACCTTGCTGTAAGACTATTTAAACAATAGCAACGCTGTTCCATATACTAATTGACTGTAGGTCAACCGCAACAAGAAATCCCTCGGATTATCCTTCCAGCACAAGTCAGGCGTTGAGATCCTGCACAAACTTGCCAAGGAATGCGACGTCTTGGTCGAGAATTACCTCCCTGGTGGCCTTAAGAAGTACGGAATGGACTATGAGACTTTGAAAAAGATCAACCCCAAGTTGATCTACGCAAGTATCACCGGCTACGGTCAAACAGGCCCGTATAGCAACCGTGCTGGATACGATGTCATGGTGGAAGCAGAGATGGGATTAATGCATATTACCGGCGCGCGAGATGGCGCACCCGTGAAAGTGGGCGTTGCAGTTACTGATCTTACTACCGGCCTCTACACCTCGAACGCCATCATGGCTGCTTTGATTGCCCGAGGTCGGACCGGCAGGGGCCAGCATATTGACGCCTGCCTGAGCGACTGCCAAGTTGCTACCTTGTCGAACCTGGCCTCCTCTGCGCTTATCAGCGGCCAGAAGGATTCTGGACGTTGGGGTACCGCACACCGTAAGTAAATGAGCTCTCGAGTCTCCAGCAAGAAGCTAACAGTTATCTAGCGTCTATTGTGCCATACCGAAGCTACAAGACCGCTGACGGTGACATTCTTTTTGGTGGCGGCAACGACCGACTATTTGGTGTGCTTTCTGATCGACTCGGATTCCCTGAGTGGAAAACAGATGCCCGTTTCGTTACGAATAGTGATCGTGTGAAGCATCGCGCCGACATCGACGGGCTGATCGAGAACATCACCCAGCAGAAGACGACGCAGGAGTGGCTGGAGATCTTTGAGGGAAGTGGAATGCCATATGCTGCTGTGAATGACATTCAGGGAACTTTGAATCACGAACACGGTATGGTTTTTTGCAATTGCTTCGTTTAACCCGTCCTAATTCCTATCAATAGTCAAAGCACGAGGCATGATCACGGAGGTCGAGCACCCCGAGTGTGGCCCTATTAAGCTGGTCAACACTCCTATCAAGTATTCTGAAGCGACACCTGGAGTGCGCACGCCGCCTCCCACACTCGGTCAGCACACTGATGAGATCTTGGGAACTATGCTGGAGTATGGGAAGGCGGATATTGCCAAGCTGAAGGCAGAGGGTGTGATTTCATAGACCCCTGTATTTAGAGCGAGAAATTATATATATATGAAGTCATATTGTACATAACCTTTAAATGGATGTTATGATCAGTTGTAATCTTTCCAAGACATTTGGAGGGATAACATGGAAGCATCGGTATCTATGTACGTAGGTGTCATTCATTCCTCAACGCATTACAGCTTAGCCTCCGGCGAATTGAGTAACTTCTCTAGCCCGCTCCGCACTTTACTCGCCATGCCACCCTTTCCGACACGCATGGTCTCTCGCATAACAAAGACATGCGTATATGTTCCAACCATCTTGACGTCCTCCTCGCCCTTTCGGAACACACCAATCTCCCATGTGACACTCGAGGAACCTAGTTTGGCTACGCGCAAGCCCACCTCCAGGATATCTGGGAATGCAACAGAGGCAAAAAAGTCGCAAGTTGTGTTGACAATAAGCCCGATTTGATCCGTGCCGACTGACAAGTTGGATGGTTGGCCTTCGGAGCTCTTGGGAGTCGGGTTGTTCACACTGAAGGGGTTCATGCCGCAATGCTCGATCAGGTAAGAATTGGCGATTGTATCGAAAAGAGCCGTGTAGACGGTGTTGTTCAAGTGCGCGTACATGTCATTGTCGAACCTGAAAGGAACAGTTAGTTCAACCTCCACTATTCCCATGGGGCGTATGCTTATCGCAGCGACTTACCATCTTGTTTGGTGAAGCTGGTGGTAGCCATAGTCGCTGCGCTTGCGGAGCTTCTTGGCTTCGTAATCAGGAGGCGCCATGTTCAAAGGTCAGCAGTGCTAGATAGTGTCAAATAGAAGTCTTCAGTCTCCCCGGATCGGAAGAGTCGCCCACATCGCGTCTCCACAGCCGATAGACCGAGGTCTGCTGGTGATTAGGTAAGCCGGCGACGCAGTGTTCACCTGCAAGTTCACGCCCTTCAATGCCAAGATGACCTGGAGGGTCTAGTTTGACCTTCAGACCCCCAATATGATCCCCATGAAGGGATGTATGGATGTATGGACTAGAAAGGGAACGTGGGGGAGATCCACCGTGCCTGAGCTTATCGCTAATCGCTCCAATTTTTTTTCCCGCCCAAACTTTCTGCCCGCCACATTCAATTTCAAAGATACTGGATCTTTGAACACCATTCCCACTGGCTCCTTCACCCCGAGTAACGGCATATCTTCTACGGCGAGGCAAACTGCCCCTGCCCCCACCACCCCAAATGTCCGTCGTCACCTACAAACCCCCGCCTCCCGACCCTGTCAAGCCGCCTCCCAATGTTGTCGTGACTCCCTGTGACCCGTGGCCTGCACCTTACTATATGGAGGGTGGCCTTCGCCGTGTTAAGCCTTATCACTATACATACAACACCAACTGCAAGGAGCGATGGCGGGGTAGGAACTTGGAGGAAATTTTCCTTTCAGAATTCCGTGATCGAAAGCCAGAATACTACAAATGGGCCCTTGACCAGGGTCTCGTTGCAGTCAACGGAAAGCCTGCTGGTCGGGATACCGTACTCAAGAATGGACAGGTCGTTTCCCACACCCTTCATCGCCATGAGCCTCCGGTGACCGGGCTGCCCATTGGTATCATTCACGAGAGCGAGGATTTGATTGTCATCGACAAGCCAGCCGGCGTTCCTGTTCATTCCGCCGGCCGCTACCACTATAACTCGGTTATTGAGATCATGCGCGCTCAACGTGGCCAGGGCTTCATTCCGAGACCGTGCAATCGCTTGGACCGTTTGACTTCGGGCATCATGTTCATTGGAAAGGATCCCAAAGGTGCTGAGAAGATGGCAGAGGCGCTGAAGCAGCGAACTGTACAGAAGGAGTACCTGGCGCGTGTCAAGGGCAAGTTCCCCGATGGCATTGTTGTTTGCGACCAGCCCATTATGCAGGTCAGCCCCAAGTTGGGTCTAAATCGTGTGCGCGCTACTGGCAAGACTGCCACAACCAAGTTCCGCCGTTTGGCTTATTATCCTCCTGAGGCTTCAGTGGCCTCTGCGGAAGAGCATGAGTCTGTTCGCGCCGCCACTCCTCCCCCGGTCGTCTCCAATGAGGACGAGGGATACAGTATTGTGCACTGCTTCCCGCTTACGGGCCGGACACATCAGATCCGAGTGCATCTCCAATTCCTCGGTCATCCGATCAGCAACGACCCCATCTATTCCAATCGTCGTGTCTTCGGTCCAGACCTGGCCCGGAACGAGACTACTGGAGAGCGCGATGAGGAAATCTTGGAGCGCCTTCACCGGATGGGCAAGACTGAGATTGCGGAAACGGCGACCTACCGCAACCATTTCACCGCTGCTCCTAACGTGCCCGTGGATACCGATCCGTCCATCGTTGCGAATATCATGTCTCGCGAGCAACAAGCCGCCGCGGAGGACTACGAGAAGCGCAAGGGCGAGCGTCTGTCCGGCGAGGTTTGCGATGTCTGCGGAACAGAGCTTTACTCGGACCCGGGTGTCCATGAGTTGGGTATCTACTTGCATGCCGTCGCTTACGCCGACAAGGATGGCAACTGGGGATACCGAAGCCCGATGCCTCACTGGGGAATGCCCCCGCCTGGCCTGGACGGGCCTTGTGAGGTTCCTGATTGGGTCCCCGGCGAGGAAACTGTCATCGGCCATGGAACCGTCCCTGAGATTCGCGATGATGATTATGATGCCACCGGTGACAAGAACCCTGCCATGAACGGCACTGTTCTTGTTGAGGGTGTCGGCATGGTCAACCTTGATGACCCGAGACATCATTTGAATGGAACTTCGGCGGGTGAAGTGCCCCAGTCCCAGGCTGAAGCATCTACTGCAGCTTAGGGCCGGTGAATTCTGTCCTTCCATTTTCTTTGGAGTTACGATACCATATGATTGGCCTGGCATCAAGAAGATACCCTTCCGAAAGTGGACATCGAAGACTGAACTCAACCATAGCATTTCCGGTGCATAAAATTGGGTTTCCTTCTTTATCTTACTAGTTCATAGAATCTGAATAGACTTTAGCGCTTCAAGATATACAATTGATATCTTTTGACTGAATGATAAATCCCAAGATTAATCCATAACGTGGTCGGTAAGCGAGTGACGTACCCTAAAACACCATAGTAGATGCAACAATGTTTCTCAGCAACCATAAGTTCCTTCTTCTCAATATATATAATCCTACTTAATTAGAGCATTGAAAGTCTGGTAAAAAGGTCTAGGTTGATTCCATCCTAATGTGACAACTTTTACCAAGTATACACTGTCATTTTGTTGAGATTTGGGATGTAGTTCATCGCATTTACTATGGTGTTTAGGGGTGCGTCACTCGCTTACATGCGTCACTCGCTTACCGACCACGGTATGGAGTGAGATGAGGATTTTCAGCTCGGGGCCATGAATCTCCGCCGTAAGATTTTAGCTCGCAAATCTCGGATCTGGGTATTCAGGCTGAACGTCCCGCTGTAGATAGCCATCTCTCTAGTTACCCAAAACGCATCACTTCCATCTCCTCTTCAAGACTTCAAGACTTCAAACTAAAAACTGCAAAATGTCAAACCCTCCCTCATCCAACGTCCTCATGGACTTCCTAAACGGCTCCTTCAACGGAGATCCCGCCGACGCCCGAGCATTCTGCGAACGCACCATGACCCCCAACTTTGTCCGCCTCCAAGCCGGCGGCGACAGAACGGACTTCGAGCGGTCCGTAGAGAAAATTGCCCATTTCCGCGCGAACGGCAAATGGGATCCGTCGATGAAGTTCTTCGCGCAGGACGGAAACAAGGTCTCTGCCCGAGTTGTTGGTGACGTGCAAATTGGGGATGAGCCGGCGAAGAAGTTGGAGTTGATGATTATGGCGGAGATGAATGAACAGGGACTCTTTGAGAGGATTTGGGAGCAGATTGCTGAGTATACTACAGGGGAGGAATAGACTCGTCAATTGTATGAGCCCATGTATAGTCTATGTGAGGTGGATCACAGTTGTATGGGCTATTTAGGTCGATGTACAGTTTGGATCTCCGAAGCTCACCACGGGGAATTGCTTTGGGGACGACTGTGGCAGACACTTCTGGAGAAGCCACCAGCGTGATATGTACACAGATATCTACCGTTCAATCATGGGTTGCGAGGAAGCCTACAACATAGAACCTAGTATTCTTTAGCCTTACTCTATTTCACAGAAGAGCACGCTAATCTCACGTGGTTTCTGGAATACCGAAGGATTCGTGAAGCACCATAACTTACCGATGTACCTATTCGCGGTGGTGGCGAAAATGGTCTAGCTTGGGGCGGACGAACTCGTATCTCGTATGAGCGATTAGCAGAGCCCGTATAAACAGTAAGAACAGGGAAGGGGGCTTGGGGTGGTCATCTGCTAGGAACAGACCAGATGAGGTCATAACGGGGGCTGTTCAGGAGTCACGTTGTGGGGAAAGTTGAGAGTTGCGGGGATCACAAAGACCAAATCGAAACCTTATATCGATCGTTGGGGGCCAATATAATGCCCACCCCCGGGCTTGTTCCGATCATACCCTATTTATACACCTTTCATGCATAATGCCTACTCAATTTCATGTCTCCGAAGAGTCCTTAGGCCACCATTACAGCGTGGTCACGGCCGACGATCAAGGGGGAAAGCATCAATTTTACGTAGAAAATGCCCCGGGAGCTTCGAAGAAGCCGGATCTCACGTTCTACGATGGTGCCGACAATACCGGTTCACTCATTGGGCTTTCCAAATTTCCTCGCATCACAAACAACTGCGAGGTCAGATTAGTCGATGAGCAATCAAACGAGGACTGGGTGCCTGTGACGAAAAGAGGTTTCATGTCTATGAAATACACCTTTGAAATCCCGGCCGGATGCAAACAGGGTGCTTTGACATGGAAGAAGACACGGTCAATGGGCAGTGGCTCCAGTCCGTATGGAAACATGAAGTTAATTGACGAGAAGAGTCACAATGTTCTTGCGGTCTTCTCATCGGATTCTTTCTCGTTAGTCACTGGTCGACTCGATATGTGTCAAGACCAAGGGGGCTCGTTCGATCGATGGGCGCTTATCACAGGGATGGCTGTTCGAGAAAAACAGCGGCGCCATACCATTGGAACAGTGAGATCAAAGGAAAATGTGTACACTATGGGTGCAGCGGGTGGTGGTATGGGAATGGGTGCAATGGGTGGAATGGGTGGCGGTGGGGGGTGCTAGTCTGGCCATTAACGTCTAAGTATTTCTACAAGCTGTGAGATGAAGTGATAAATCGAAATAAGATGGAACATCTTGAGCTATCTAACTCAAGGCTATACGAAGAAGTGAAACCAAAAAGTGCAAAACTACCGCCTCCATCAACAGCATTTCAACTTCTCCTTCTCAGTTGTTCGAGGACTTGCAGGATGTGCAGTAGTTGAGCGTAATGTGACAACTGTTAGACAGGTAAGTAGAACCACATTGGTCGACACTATCGTTGTCCTTCATATATTCGACACTAGTGAAGAGGTCAGTTAGCATACGCCACTGAAGAGGGATTCGAATGACTTACGCGCTCTTGATTTGAGTTCCAGTCATACCAAATCCGTAGTCATCACACTCGAAAATGGCAGTGCAACCAGCCTGTCCGAATGTGAAAGCGTTCAAGATGCCACCTTTGAGGCTGGCAGTGTATGCAGTATACTCGTCGTATACACGGTCATCGTCGTATTTTTCCCAAGCCCTAGTACAAGCATCGCCGATGGAGCCACAGTTGCTGGATCCCTTGTCGTTACCGGCAGTTTGGCTAGGGTTAGCGGCTTGCAGTGTAACGGCCGAGCCGGCGGGCAAAGTGAATGCATATTTCTTGCCCTGAACTTCACCCCATTCGATGGTCTGAGAGGCATAGGACAGGATTTCACCATCTGCCTCCGTCGTGGTAACCGGCGTGTAGAGAAGCGAGTCCACCGTTGACGCCGGGACGTTTGTCGTTGGAGAGATGCTGGACGGGAATATCGTGTATTGGAAGCATTCTCCGGAGCTAGCGCTTGTTGTAGCGTAGTAGGTTTGTCCACTAAAGACGGTGCTGCATTCACAATACCCTCCCGATTGAACCTCCGGACCCCCTTCAAATATGCACATGGGATCCTTCACTGCCGTGCTGGATGAAGTAGCCGAAGATGTGAGCGTACGAGTAGCCCTCGGAGTAGTTGATGGGGAAGAAACGGGTGATGGAGACGATGACAACGATGAAGAAGCTGTTGAGGATGATGATGAAGACTCTGTGGAAGCGGATGACGATAAAGATGAAGATGAAGATATCTTCGACGTCGACCTGGTTGAGAGAAAGGCACTCGAGCTTCTAGTTGATGCTGAAGTTGAAACAGGAAGGCTAGTCGATGACACTCGCCCCGAGCCCGTGTTGGTTGCATATGGGTTGGGAGTAGATGGATATACAGAGGCCGTTCTGGCAACGGAAGTGGTGCGCCGGGCACGGCAGGACTTGATCTTGGTGCTAGTCGATAGTGAAACAGAGCTGGCACGCGAAGACGAGCTGGAGCTTGGAATAGATGTTGAGCTCGGAGTCGATGTAGAGCTGGGGGTAGGCGTCGAGCTAGGAGTGGAGCTCGAGCTTGCTGACGAGGTCGGGCTAGACGATGATGTAGAGCTCGATCTCGAGCTCGGTGAGGATGTGGAAGTAGAAGACTCAGGAGTAGAGGTTGAGCTTGACGAAGATGATGTTGAGGTAGATGAGGATGAAGATGAAGATGAATCAGTGGAGGACTCCGACGATGTGGTCGAGGTCGATGACTCTGACTTGCTAGTCGAGTTATCGTCATCATCTCCTCCATCTCCATCCCCATCACCACCACCACCACCTCCTCCTCCTCCTCCTCCTCCTCCACCGCCGCCACCGAACAGCCCGCCAAGGCCAGACGAAATGCTTGACAAGCCACTGCTCAGGCCGCCAGCAGCGGTGCTCAAAGCTGAAGAGCTACCATCGGACAAAGCACTGGAGACAGAACTATAGATAGAATTCAACCCAGATGTGACCTTTGAAACGGAACTGCTGCTAGTTCCCCCAGATGGGGTATTACTGCGAGCAGAACCAATCGCAACAAGCAGAGCATTTGCGTTTGACTCGGTAGGGTCATTTTCGAACGATTGAACGGCGCTAGTAGCCGATGCAACGACAGAGCTCCATGATGAAAGGGCAGAAGTTGGAACAGATGTCACCGACGCACCTGACTGACTTCCACCGCTGGCTACGGTAGTTGTTTGTCCATTCGGAAGAATACCGACAACGCTGACAGCCACGCTAGAGGACCCGCTGGCAGTGTAGATTGTCTTGGTGGAAACAGCAGTGGGTGCCGAAGTCGCCTTTCCTGGACCGACGCTTCCTCCATTTCCTCCAGCAGAAGAAGATGATGATGCAGGGGAGGATAGAATCGGGGATGATGGCGCGGATGAAGAAGATCCAGAGGAAGAAGCTTCGGAAGAAGACTGAGAAGAAGAGCTCTGAGAGGGCGGGCCTGGAGAAGATTGGTCCGAGGAAGAACGGACCTGCGACGTGGTCAAAGTAGATCCTTGTCCATTATTGGTCTTTGAAGTGTATCCAGGTGGTATCAATGCACTCGACTTGATTTTCTGCGAAGCCGAGCTACTTGGCTGGCTATTGGTAGAGCTGGTCGATGGTACAGACGACGAAGTGCTGGAAGAAGGAGTTTCTGACGAAGACTGGGAGCTAAGCAGATCTAGCGAAGTGGTCGAGGTGCGGGAATGAGAGGAAGTACTATGGTTATGATGAGACGAATGGCTTGAGATAGAGGAGAGATCGCGCTTCGGTACAGAGCCCAGAGAGCCTAGCGCAGTGCTGCTAGCCCAAACGGCAAGAAGTAGCAGTTGTCCTGGTTTGAGCAACATGTCGTTGTAAGTTGGCAGGGTTCACAAGACTCTGCTCCTAGGGAAATAAAATCGAGGTAGCGGGATGGGAATTATAGATTTCTATTCAACCAAAAATGCTGAATCCTTTGCATGCCAATTGTGGTCCTGAAGATTTCTTGAGCCTGATAGGGCGTTTTCGGCTTTCGTCCTGTAACATGGAGGCGTTGGGGGCTATAAAAACGGACTACTAAACAGGGTAGTCGAGTCCAATTTTATTCAATCTCCTTTGAACATCATTGGAAGTCGTACATTGACAGGACCACGCATATTTGGGGCCAAAGAGTTTCGAAGGAATGCTTATGGTGGCTAGACGAGATAGTGTTAAGTAGGATCGACTATCCGTGAAACAAATTAACTATACCCACTTGTACTGTTTCGGATCCTGCAAGTTCATCTTGAGACCAAAAGTATAGAAATCAGGAACGCTATGTTGTGATGGGCAGCCACTATCAGGGGCTCAAGTCAACCCAGTCCGTCACCTTATTGAGCTTCACCATGTGAATAGTTATACAACGCAGAGTATTCAAAGATGACTCTACGGATCCTTCTTGTCTATGTGTTTCCCGCCCACAACTTAGCTATCCAAACTGTTGATCAATCTCAGGCTATCAAAAGATCAAGAATAGAGCTTGTGACCAAACTACTGGAAGCTAGTCTCTTCCTTCCATGTGCAAGCTACCCTTGCAACCCCTGTGGCAAACATCATGCTTATTCCCCTGCTTTCTTGCGGGCCTTATCCCCGAAGGATCGAAATCTAGTCCTCTTCATGAATTACTCTGAGTAAGATTTAACAAGTTGCTGCTCCACTTTGGCCCCACTTGTTTTATCCTTTCGCACTGATCGCCATACGTTGGGGGCCATCCACGCATCTCATCCGGCCCAGTTACCTTCGCCCCGATCGTCGCAAAGCCCCTGGCAGTTAGTGCTTATTCTATGCCTAGTTCTTATCCAGGATATGCACCCCTGAGCTTGTGGCGCATAGTCGACGTGCAAAAGACAATTAAATTCCATACTTTACTCTGAAGGAAGTATACCTGGGCACTTTTATTACATGTTGCCCACCCGGTCAACAATCATCTGAGCTGCTGATTCGAAATCGGCATCTACTATCACATTATCCAAGCCCGAATTTTCGATCTTGGACAAAAGTCAGTTTCAACAATACAGATGAAACACGTATCCATTCACACTTACTAGCTGCAGCGCCTGTGGGCAATTCGTACCCTGGAGGCGGACTACGACTGGGACCTTGAAGCCGCCTGTTGCATTGGCGGCCGCAACGATCGACTCGGCGATCATATCGCAGCGCACAATGCCTTGCACTCCGTCAGCGAGGTTCTTGTCATGTTTAGGAAGACGAGAGCTCACCGCCATAAATATTCACAAGAATCCCCTTAATCCGCGAATCGTTGTTGAGTATCTCAAAAGCCTTGCTCAATGTCTGTTTCGTCGCCCCTCCACCGACATCGAGGAAATTAGCGCACTTCCCACCGTATAAACTAATCAAATCATTGGTTGCCATTGCAAGACCGGCTCCATTGACGATGTTCCCGATATTGCCATCTAGCCGAACATAAGACAGACCCAGCTTCGAAGCCTGGTACTCCACTTCTTCCTCCGGTGACCTTTCTTCAAGACTAAAGAGTTCTTCTTGTCGGAACCTCGCCGCGTTATCAAAGCTGAACTTAGCGTCGAGACAAATAAATTTTCCATCATGAGTGCGAACAAGAGGGTTAAGTTCAAGAAGCGTCGCATCTTTCTCTCGGAAAAGTTTGATCATCTGATGGAGAATCTTGTCCACCACGACCATCTCCTTATCAGAGAAGCCGAGCTGTGCTTGGATATAGGATATTATCTCTGTAGTGAGGCCAGTCGGTAGATGAAACCAGAACTTTTGCAGTTTGTCAATGTTAGACTCGATGTTGGTGCCTCCGACATCCGAAATCAGGAGGACTGGCATGCCTCGGCCGCGATCAAACGTTAGCGCAAGATAGAATTCATCGGCGACATCAACGGCTTTGTATATATATAGCTTGTTCACGAATAGGCCACCGGGTGGCGTTTGCTTTGTCGTTAGATGATACCCGAGCATCTGAGAGGCATTTTCGTATGCTTCCTTGGGCCTGGGATCGGGGTTAGCTTTGGTCACTCGCTTCTTGGTCTGGGGCTAACCAAGTAACAATTCGAACCCCTCCTTTTCCGTCACTATCATATTTCCCTTTACCTCGTCCTCCAGCAAGTACTTGGGCCTTGAGAACCGATGGTGCACCTAGTTAATGTAAGCAAATGCAACCCTATCTAGGAGGCATACTAAAGAAGGCGACTTACTGATATCCGATACTACCTTACGAGCCTCCTCCGCGCTGGTGACCACAAGTCCATTGGGCACAGGTATATTGAACTAACGACTGTAAGCCAAGCCGAATAATATGATGAACCTCCCGAGGACAGCTCACATCTCGGAGCAGTTTGTGCGACTGATACTCCAAAAGGTTTAAATGTCGCACTTGCATCTTGAAAGGGCCATGATGCTATACACCGATCAGCAAGTCTCTACTCAAGATGGAAGATGTCTCGTACCCCTTGGAAGAGACGCGAGAGTGTGCGTCGGCCAATCATCTGGACTCTGACTGAAATTCGAGGCTTTTGTTTCCCGATGTCTTCTTGTTGAAGTCCAAGTGAGGGTAAATGGAGGTGCTCTACGATGACATCAACATGAATGTCATCTGGCGCGTATTGAGTTTGTGGGGTGAAAGCCTAACGTCAAGGGAATTTTGGGTGAACCACGTCTTCCGCTGCTTGCCGCATAACAAAACCGACGGAATTGTTTCCCGGGTTTTGTCTCTGATCTGAACCCATCGAGTTTTTGTGACACAGAACTCAACACCCTGAGCGTTGTTTCCTGCTCGAGCCAATTTGGCGGCGTTGGCACCTCATTGGCACCAAGGTGACCTTTGCGCATCTCACTCTCCCATTCCGTGATCTTCTTAGTCTAATAAGTCCGTTCACCTCATTGATGAATGGTCCGCTATAGGCGATAATTCTCGTTCAGCTCAAACGTGATTTATGGAAACTACATCATCCCGTTCTGTTATATGATTAGAAGGAAGTATTGCCAAGCGTTACTAAGAAGAGCGGCCCGACAATCAAAGCAAATACCATGAATACTGCCCTTGCCTTTTTTTAATGCAGTCTAAAATTGTCCAGAACTTCAACGGGTGCTAACGTAGGCATCTCTTGACATGAGGGGGTTTTGTAGAATAATCACCTGAGATAGACACCCGTTGCTGTATGGATATAATTGCTTATACCGCCTTCCTCTTTCCTTCCCTTTTATTCTGGATGGTTCCCATAACTGCATTGTCCGTGCCTCGCCACGCCATTCAGAAGGAGATTTGCAAATTTAACCTGGATACAGGTTCCGCCCGAGATCATCAATTAATACCTCACGTATGCATCATATATGCATCATACATTCACCGAGCAATTAGCCTTCGTCTTTACCAGTCAGCCACCTAGCCAGCTGCATTCTGTCCCCTCTAAAAGCCTTCATACATCTATTTGGAATATTGTCGGCTTTGAACCTCGTGCGTCCATGGGCTCTTGGTATTTGCCGTACTTCATCCCCGTAAGATAAGCCGATGCGATATTGGACCTCAGCCCCTAAATATCAAGCGTATAGCCAGGATGCAATTGATTGCAAATGTACAGTACTCAGGAGACTCGAAACGACAGGGTCCTGGGATTGCACAGTACTTACTGCTTTGGAGGATCCTTGCGACAGAGAAATGATCGCGGGATGCGGGGGGACTCACCTTTACGGCGAACGCATCTGGAGCGAAACACGACAACTATGCCAGCCACCTTCGGGGAAATGCGGAGCTTGTCTTCCTTGTAAATCGACAGCACTAGTCACCTCAGGCAATACAATGAGTAATGCAACTCCACCGTGCATCCGCTGCAAGCTCATGTAGAAATGACTTGCACCATCCAGGGCAGACTTGCATCCCAGTCCAATTCCTCATTGTCCGAACCGAACCGAACCATCGAAGTTCGAACATGACTTCCATCAAGTTTCAGGGAATGCAGGAACCCAGCGCTGATTTGACCGATAAACGGCCGCGAGCAATTAGGTTCACGCCGTCTCCCATGCATCCTCGGTTAAGTCGCGCACGAGTCACAGGAACGTGTCCTCCACAATAACGCAGTTCTTTGGACCGAACGTTCCAGCCACTGCATTCCATTACCTGCACGCAACCATTAAGGATAGATCGTCGAATCTACACGATTCGATCCGAGAGTCGTGTCCCCGGCCCCACCTGCTAGTGGCGATTGATGTAGCTCACATTCTAGTTCGCGAGCTAGCTGGTCAATGTGATTGTACTTTTGCCATATCTCATTTGAATACCATGTCAGGTCCAATCGCAGTTGGATCCTGGCAAGTGGCGGTGTGTCAGAACCGGACTCAAGGAAGTCGTAGGTTTGCGAATGGTTTTACTTTTGACTAAATGTGGAGCTGACGAAAGATCGATCCATTTCCCGCGGACGCTTTTGGTAATCGGTATGTCTCTCCGTCCTTAGCGGGGATTTCTTGCTCCCCTTTAAATCCTTTGAATATAGCTGGGCAGGAACCCCGTGTGGACAGTTTGATTCCCACTATCAAGTTCTCCCCGCGGTTTGTTGGTGTCCTTTAAGTGTCCCTTCGTCATGCGGTTTTTTTCTAGCTCCGGAGCTACTGTTCCTACTTCCCCGGCTTCGCACAAGGAAGATACATTGCGTTCATGGACCAAGCTTGATTCAGTTGTCCAAAAGGGCTGTGTTGACCTGGATGGAGAAGCCCTCGATATCGCAAGCGTGGCTGCAGTTGCTCGGTATTCAATCATCAACTTCTCCTAACCCATAAAAGTTTAGCTGACCACTTAGAAAGTAATGGCTGCGGCGCTCAAGTATCCAATGATCCCCGAGTAGCTCAAAAGGTTCTCGCGGGCGTCCAGACTCTGACCGAGTACCTTGCCAAGGGATACTCTATCTACGGTAAAATCCAGGCGGCATCACGAGAACGGCCAGCCAACTAACACATCTCTAGGAGTCAACACTGGCTTTGGGGGTAGTGCAGATACTCGCACAACAGACACCATGCGACTCCAAGAGTCTCTTCTCCAGCTAACCCAGGCAGGCATCCTGACGAGCAGCGACTGTACCTCCCGAGTGGGAGATTACAACCTGGGCTCCCACGCGATGCCAGTCGCATGGGTACGGGCCACCATGCTCGTACGATGTAATCACCTCCTCAGAGGCCACTCAGGTGTGCGGCTGGAGATCATCGAAGCCATGTTGAAGATGCTACGAGAGGGCTTCACACCTCTCGTGCCCCTGCGAGGCTCGATCTCTGCTTCGGGCGATCTGATGCCTCTTTCCTATCTGGTTGCGGTGCTGGAAGGGAATCCGGATATCAATGTTCACTGGGATTGCAAGCCAGAGGCGAAGGTTGTGTCGACAAGCACTGCTTTAGAGATGACTGGGATTAAGCCATTCGTGCTCGGGCCGAAAGAAGGACTGGGTCTCGTGAATGGAGCAGCTGCCTCTGCAGCTGTTGCATCTTTGGCGGCGCATGAAGCGAGTCAACTTGTTATTTTGGCTCAGTCACTAACTGCAATGACATGCGAGGCCATGATGGGCAATGCGGAGAATTATCACGAGTTTCCTGCTCGGATCCGGCCTCATCCTGGACAGATTGAAGTCGCCGCCAATATTCGCAACGGGCTTGACGGCTCGAAACTTGTTGAAACTTCCGATAGAAAGGATCGCTTCCGGCCGGGGCTTATCCAAGATCGATATGCGCTTCGGGGGGCATCGCAGTGGCTCGGGCCCGTGGTGGAGGATCTTGGATTGGCTGTGCAGCAACTCACTATCGAGCTCAACTCGACGCAGGATAACCCGGTGATCGATTCAGAGACGCAAGAGGTTTACTCTTGCTCCAATTTCCAGGCGGCTTCTGTCTCTGTGGCCATGGGAAAGGTACGCGAGGGCCTGCAAATGGTGGGTAAGCTCTTGTTCAGCTACTCGTCGGAGCTTATAAACCCCGATATGAACAAGGGCCTGCCGCCCAACCTGGCGGTTGATGACCCCAGCTTGTCATTCACGATGAAGGGAGTCGATATCTCCATGGCTTCGTACATGTCGGAGCTTGGATTCTTGGCCAATTCTGTAACATCGCATGTCCAGTCTGCTGAGATGCATAACCAGCCGATCAATTCTCTTGCCCTAATCTCTGCTCGCTATACTTTGCAGGCCGTTGAACTTGTTTCAATGATGAGTGCAGCTCAGCTGTATGTCGTGTGTCAAGCTCTTGATCTACGACTGCTGCACGAGACTTTTCTGAATGAGCTGGATAGTGTGGTGCAGACGACGCTGTCAGAGCTGTTGATCTCGACAGACAAGGAGACCATGGGATTGCTCCAAGCTGGCATCATCAAAGCAATCCGAGCATCATGGAAAGAATCCGCACGCGCAGACCTATCATTCCGGATCCAAGGATTATCAACCGTCATGGCCCCCATCCTGTTAACACAGTCCAAAAATTTGAACGTCGAAGACCCTATCGCCATGATCGAATCAGTGCAGAAGCGCATCTCCCAGGATGCACAGTCACTGTTTGAGGTGACCCGCAGCCGGACAATGTCGGGCGAACTAAACGCTGAATCATCGCTCGGGTCGGCTTCGAAATCTCTCTACTGCTTTGTGCGACGTGATTTGAACGTTCCGTTCCACTGTGGTCTCTTGGAGCACCCTACGATCGATAGCAAGACACCTGGTGTGCCACAACGCCCGCGGAAGACAATCGGGTCCTGGATCTCGATCATCTACGAGGCAATCCGTGATGGCAGAATTCGGGCTCCTCTGAGTTAAGTGATGATAACGACCTTACATTCTACATGCATGATAGAGATCTCATAGATCGGTAAAGTTTCAAGATTGGATGTATAGATGAAATCAAGATTGCAGTTTACAAAAGATTAAGCGCCAAATTTCTAATTACCCATAGATGCACCTTATATGAACACAATACCCAGACCCGGGAATCCCAATCAATGCCATGCGCCCCATCCAATGATGTATGTATAACCCAGAAGAATATATAACGAATGAACAATATACGTAAGATCCAAACCTTACTAGGTGACAAACTTCGGCTTGCGACACTTACCTCTCTGCTTGATGGCGGCATCGACTCGCCACAACATCGTCCCTGACATGATGCCCGGTTTGGGAAGTCCACGGAGAGCCCAGCCGGATGTTGTACAGCGACCGTGCTCGTCGACGCGATACTGCATGCATTCTGAAGAGCGGGCGCAGTGCTCGGCGCATTCATACATGGAAGCTGGCGTAGACGGGCCCAAGTAGGCGGCATGGTTGTCGCCATCGGGGGCATTATTATCCCAGTCATCGCTGACGCTTGTGAGCATAGGGCGGACGAAATTTCTGAAGATGTCACCGTAGGTGAGGAAGGTTCGATTATCCTGAATCCAAAAAAAATGTAAGCAACCAGAACACGGATAAGTAAAAGCGAAAGAAATTTCAATTCCTTACATTTGAGAACCACTCCTGATCGAACTTCCACATTTCCTCGACGTCGGCTGGCGTCATGTGGTGGAATGTAAAAGGAGGAAAGCACCATTGCGGTGTACCAAAGCCCTCGCCGAGAGCATCCTGCTCCCAGACCGACTGGGTCGTAACATGGGGCCAGGACCAGGTCAATCCGATGCCTGCTTTGGCGAGAGCCATGCCCAATACACAATCGCCTGCCCATTCGCGATCGGTGATCTGGTTCCATTCTTCGGCGTGCTTGGTATAGAAATCGGCGACCGCATGCATCGCCGCGTTTGAAATCACGAAGCCCGACCCGCCATGCGCAAAAGTAGTATCACCGATCATCATCTGGTTACCGAGATACAACTTCTCTTTGGAGTCGTAGTTCTCCAGCCAAGCAAGTAGATTCGGCCAAATCGGGTAAGTGTCGGCTTCGAGGAAGACATACCACTTGGCATCGGGCCGGTGGGCTCGGGCCTCTTGGATCATCGGTAAGAACTTCCACTTGTCGAGCTTCCAGCCCGGATTGTCGCTCATACCAGAAGCACTATTCGCGACTTTAGTATGATCCTCATCGGTCAAAGCTGCACGACCACCTTGGCGGGCGCGGTTATACAGAGCAAAATCATTGTTGGAGTAGAGAGTTTGAGAGACGTTGCGGAAGACATCCAGCGTTCGCAGGCCATCAATCTCCTCCTCGAAATCCGATACGATTAACTTGTTCGGAATGCATCGGAGTGTGGTACGGATATGCACTGGGAGTTTGTGTTGCGCTTCCGTGATTCCTGTCTTGATCACGACCAGGATATCGTCAATGCCCGGCAGCGGGTGGCATGTCGAAGCTTTCTCGGCAGGCGGGGCGGCGGTAGCCGAAGTGGAAATGGTAGAAGTAGCTTCAGTTTCGTTGACGGTTCCGAAAGAGGCCGGCTCGAGTACAACCTGTGTAGTATCGCCAAAGCCGGCGTTTAAATGCAAGAACAAAGTAATGAGAGCAAGCGGTATCAGGATGGGCACCCAGCGCCCGTAGCGAGCGGGGAGGGTAGGCATCGTGCAGGGAAGGGGATTGAAGAATCAAACCCCCATTTCGATGCTCAAGAATATGGAACTGAAAGAAGCCAGACTTGATCAGACAGGTATGACAGGGTCGTCCAGACGCTTTAAGTCTTACGGCCCGTGGGGGCTTGTTTCGGGGGCCTGTCTGAGCTGATCTCTGGCGCGACTGCCTACGCTACGCTCGGTTCAGTAATCGATGGGTCAATCCAGAAGGGTCCGGTTTTGTCTGCATCGTTACCTGGTTCCGGCACCGAAATCTCTTCGCTGGCATTCCGTGGATTGAACCATCACAATTGCAACCGTCTGTGTCCTGTATCCTGTGTCTTATGTCCCGTGCCCTAAGTCCTGTGTCCTATGTCCTATTCGGGGTCTGCGCTTCATCTATTTCTCCTGTCTTACGTAGGTCACGCCACGAGGGCCCCTGGGATGTGGGTCTGGCGATCAGTAGTCGTCATTCTTCCCGAGCAGCATTCTAGTTAGTGTACTTATTTTGGTTAGTTTAAGAGGTTGGGGCTATTTCCAGCAGTTCCTGGAAAGCGTGGGGATCCGGGAGGGTCCGATAATAATTTACGAGTACATATCGGGATGTATAGGCGTCTTTTACAGGGGCCTCGAATCAATTGGGCAGATATGGAAAATCATAACAATTGATACGGTAAGACATCCAGGATTTTTGAATTTTTGTTCATTCCAGAGAAATTTCTCTTGCTTCGCCCGGTGACCAGACGTAAGCCGCACATGGCATGCCATGCACAATCCTTGAAATTCGTTATCGCCAGAGTGATATTATCACTACCGTACAAAAACCCCGACCCTCTCGTGCTCCTGCAAATACCACACCGAAAAAAGGAAACAGAACTTTTGGGTTCATTCCATTTAAGCCTCGGTGGTGACACGGCCCTTGGGGTTGGTGACCTTGACACCGAGAGCCTTGGCCTTGGCGAGGATGTCGACGCGCTTGCGGGAGGAGACGGCGTGGCCGATCCTATTTCGCTGTTAGTAGTGTTTCTCGGTGGTAAACTCGCAGGCAGAACGTACTCAGCAGCGTAGGTGCGGTTGTGCATCAGGAGGAGCTCAACGTCCTTGGGGTTGTGGACGAGGAAAGCCTTGTGGCCGGAGGGCATCATGTGGCGGGTCTTCTTGTTGGATCCGTAACCGATCTATCATTGTCGGTTAGCGATGGTCGCGCAGTTTCTTCATGGGAGGGATGCGTACGGAGGGCATGGCAATCTGGCCCTTGAAGCGGCGGCGGACGCAGTTATCGATACCCTTGGGCTTGCGCCACGAGGGGTCGACGCGCATGAACCGATCACTCTGGTGGCGAGTGAAGCGGTTGGTGCCTGTAGGGAGTCAATGTCAGTCCTTCATTCGATATCCTGGGTCGTTGTCGTTTTTTTTTTTTTTCAAGGTCCGTGGATAAAATCGCCCTTCAACCACAAAGAGTGTGTCGCCCTGCCGAAAATATTCTCACGGCGTTGTCGTATTCCTCCTCTTACTCCTTCGAACTTTTCATCTCGTCGACGGGTCGAAGGGCGATGCTATCCAGGTTGGAAACGGGGTCGGTCGGGGATCGGTAACATACGCTTCTTCACGATGGGGATGTGCTTCTTTGCGGCGACCATCTTGGGAAAGCTGTCAGTATGCGAGTTGAGGATAGCGAAGAAATGATAACGGAACTCACTTTGGCGGTGTTGTAGGGTCTCGCCGGGCGTTCGAGAGTTGTCGAGTCGGATTGAAATCAATCTCGAAAACTTCACACTGGCGCGGACGAGTGGGCGGTCCACACTAGTGCGCTTCTAGCGTTCTAAGCGAACAAGGTGTGCTTATGTCAGCGTAGGGTTTGCATGTGGTATGCCCTGCCAAGACTTCCTGTTCGGGATGGCCGTGTCTTGTATACAAGAAGTACTCTGCTGAATAAAGTATGGCTTTCATTCGATTTTCTTGCTAGAAATACATTTACACCTGCCATTGAAGGCTCACTTTTTCTCCCTGTCGCTCACCGCTCTTTAGCATTTGCTCCAGGATCTCCAAGTCCGCCAATGCAGCCTCGGGCGACTGTCTCTTCTCAACCGGGCGACCGTTGACAATGGCTGTGGCAAATTCAGCAACTTCAGGGCCAACCCCCTTGCCATCAAACTCAATGTGGTTAACTACACCATTCACGGTCACATCGTCATCCTTCAAAGTCACAACGCCTTTCTCGCAGGCAAACTCGAAGGTGCTATCGCTGAACGGCGATCCCCAAGATAGAGAAATGATACCCGTAGCACCAGATCCAGTTTGAGCGACAGCGTCCACTGTATCAACCGGGGGAAGGTAGGCTTGCTGCAACTGGGACTGTGCAGACAAGGAAGTGATATGCTCTGAGCCTAAAATCAGACGTAGGCCAGCAGTCATATGCACTCCTCCATCCAGGAGGAAGCCTCCCTGGTACTCAGGCACTTTACGCCAAGCAGTTTCTGGGAAGGTGTAAGCATAATCAATCATTTGGGAAGATATTGTGAAAGACATACGGTAGTACTTGTTATCCTCCTTGACCAAGTTCTGGACATTTACCCGGAAGTGCTTCACTTTGCCCATCTTCCGCACCTGCTCAGCCGTGAACAGATACTTGGTCAAATACCGGAAGTTCTCGCCGACAGCCCAGAACGTTTTCTTTGGGTCAATATTGGCCGCGTACCATTCCAGGAGTTCTTGGGCAGTTGCGACGTCCTTGGCGATGGGCTTTTCAGACAAGACATGCTTACCAGCGAGAAGCGCCTTCTTGATGAACTCGGGTTGAATAAGAATGGGAAGACTATGGGCTATTAGCTTGATCTTCTTTCAGCGTTTTCAGATGCCAATATGTATGACGTACGCAATGATTACAGCGCCGATGTCTGGACGAGACAGCAGATCGTCGAACGAGTTGCCAGCTCCAGCGTCCTCCGAATAGAGATCAATACCGGTTGTGCCCTTCGCAAGAGTCTGTGCTGACTTAAGGGACCGCGAGTAGATGGCCTTGAGCTCAAAGTTCGGGGCAGCTTGAACAGCAGGCTATACAGGATGTCAGTGGAATTTGGAGCTAAAGCAGATCACCCTTCACATACAAGATGCTGCTCCTTGGCGAAATGGCCTGTTAGTTTGTTAGTTGAAGATGTTCATGACGATTTAGGGAAGACACTTGCCACTTCCGATGATTGCTACACCGATAGACATGTTTCGGTTGGTTTTCAAATTTGTATAAAGGAGTTCAAGGGGTTTAGAAGACGAGAGATTCGAGATCACTCTATGAGATGTCATGCAGGGACTGCCCTAGAGTGGTGGGTTTATTTTGAGTCCACCGGGAACCCGACGTGTCCACCATCGCGGGGTCGGGGAAGGTCCAACCTACTCCCGAGTCTCGGCATCTCCAACTCTACCATATCACAGGTTCGAGGTGGATTCATTGTCCTATTTCACTGTTCTTATCCTCTCGTTTATAAACTGGATTTATTGGCCTCATTGTTTTCCTGGTTTACAATTATCTCGTAGTTACAAGAAGTAAAGATAGAGATGTAGACCATTGAACATGCAACGCTTGCCAGGCCGGTCTCATTCCAGCGCTTGAATCTTCAAATCTGCTTACATGTGCATACCAACCCTGATACAACTCATGAGTACCATTTCTCCGGCTATCAATCTATCAGTTGACAGCTATGACAATCATGCATGACGTAGGACTTAAAGAGCGCTCCCGGTGATCTATATGCAATATATACCAACCTCGGGAACCAATGACGTGACTTTCTTACAGTACCCCTTCAATACCTGGAGGTTCTTAACTTGAGAGCTATTTGAATGCATCAAAATACTGCCCAGGTGGGCATCAACATTATATCAAAGCAGTGGGAAATACCACAGAATTCCCTTGGTGTTCTTGGAAATGGGGGCTCTCCCGTGCTAGACTCCAGGGCTGGAGCCTCAAACGATTAACTGCGCATACAAAGCATACAAAGCATACAAAGCACCATCCACCACAGGTGCATAAACCCCATATATAAAACGCCAACCAATAAAAGAACAATGCAAACCGGGAATCGAAAAATCAAGCCTTATCGAATCCAAGACGCCCACCCATACCTATCATGAAAGTGTCCAATCATAGCAGTCATAACACAACAAAACAAACCAACACAACGAAGACCCTCACTTACTGACCAAAGCCCGCAACCTATCCACACGGGCCATCGCCTTCTCCAACCTCTCCAGCCGACTCCGCTTCTCGACATCCCGCCGCTCGAGCACCGCAACCCGTTCCTCCAACTTTGCGCGGGCCTTGCGCTCCTGCGCCACCATTTCATTCGCTTGACTGAACAATTGAACCGTCAAATCCTCCAGCTCCGTGCTCGCCTGCGTAAGCTGTGTCTCGGCCGCCTTGCGCAGTCCCTGCTCGCGTGTCAACGCATCCTGTAGCTCGGAGGTATTGTCGCTGCTGGCTGGGGATGCCACCTGCGGGAGTGGGGTGATGGGGACGGTCGGGGTGGTTGGCACAGGCGTGCTTGTAGTGGCGCTGCTGCGGCGGTAGGGAAGCAAGGAGGTGAGGGTCGCGAGGCGGCTCTGCTGCGCTTGTGGGGAGATATGCGCCGATGTCTCGGGGGACACGGGGGTCGGGACTTGGGTTGGTGAGAGGGCGCGATCTGTGTGGGAGGATGTTGGTGGTTGGGAGGAGCTGCTTCGGGGTGAGGTGTAGGCGGCGTGTGCTGAGCGTAGTCGGTGGACTTCTTCTTCGTAGTCGGCGAGTTTCCCGGCTGTTTGAAGTTAGTGGATTGGTCTTGGGTTGGCTATTCGAATAGTGGTTCCTGAATGGGCTAAGTCGCCGTTGTTCTTGTTGTTGTTCTTGTTTGGGTATGGAGATGCGCTTAAAGATCGAGGTATGGTGCACACTTACCAGTAAGCGCGGCGCGCTCGTTCAACTCCTGGACATGTCCCTGTAGCTCCAGGATCTGTTGCTGCACCTCGGAGGGATCATGGCAGTCACCACTGCCGCCACAGGCCGGACAGATCTCGGTCAAGACAGTCGTCATCGCAGTGGGCGATCCGACAAGAGTGGTGGTCGTGAGGGTAGTCGTAGCCGACATGACAACATGGGGAGATTACCCCGGCTTTCAATAGATAAGTTAAACCGAGGTTAGAGAAAGCAGTAACCAGCACTTGAGGTGCAAAGTAGCCAGAAGATAAGCGGTCAGGAATCAAACGGTCATGAAACACGATTCATTTCCAGCGCCGGGCGAGTCTTTGAAGGGGTTCATCAACTCCATACCTGCGCCACCGGTTTATTTACCCAATGGGCTGGGCTGCCCGGCTCTGCGTGTCTCAGGCTTTGAATTTTTTTTAATTTCTCATTCTGACATCTAGACTATAATGATTGCCATCCTTACTCGATGCTAATTTAATTTACAGTGATCGAGTTCTCAAGTTCTAGCGTCATCATAAACAAGCCCCCGCCGTGGAGCCTCCCTGTGACTGACATTCCACTGTCACAAGATGCACCACATTTTTACGCTCGTGGACATTGGACTAATCCGAATTGGCATATCGCTGGGTCCTAGTGCCCTCCACAACTATTTATATCGCCCTTGCTGGAGCTATTTCTTGACCAATTGTCTCTGGGAAAAGTGTACCCCTTAATACACAAGTTTACGGAGTATCGATTATTGAGATGCGGGGAGGATGTGTGCAAAGTTCAGTAGTTTCCTCACGCCCCCTGTCCTTTCTGTCTCCCCTAGCAAGGGGGAGACAGGCCCACGAGGGTCTGGCGCTAGCGAGGGGTCTCGGTGCTGGGACTCCACAGCGGAAAAGCGGTAGGGCACGTACCTCATCCGGGGTGCAGACTCGTGGAAGCATCTCGATGTCCTAGAAATTGATCGAGGCGGTCTGGTTTCGCATTTGAGAATAAAAACTTTGTGACGGAAATTATCGCTCGTTATTTTCGAATTTTCTCTCCGTCCGGTTTCTTTCACTGCCAAGATTGGTCCGGTCACGAGCCCTAATGCTACGGCAAGCGAATTTTCTCCGTGCGAGAGCAATTCTATGTCAATGAAGACTGCATTCCAATCTAAAATGAGAACTAGGAAGGGCAAAATGGTGGTTCTATCATTCCTCGGGCGAATGACAATACCGGGTTGAGATGCATGCGGCTTTGGGCACTGAGAGGAAAGGAAAATTCAAGGGAACATAGAGATTCATTGTCATGTTATGACAGCTGCGTGATCATGGAAACTGCTCATGGCGACTACCTCGTCTCTCGTAGGCTCGTTTGTATTCGCATCGCTGACCGAGAGGAACTGAAGAGGGCCGAGAATCGTGGACAAAGGTGTCATGACTCCACGCCCCAAGGCCCACAATGATCCCAAGCACAATAGACAAGAGAACAAAACAAGATCACCCAAAGACGATCAGAAAGACAGGAAATTAAAGGAAAGGAGAAACGGATAATCTTCATTTCGCATCGGCTGTAATGATCATGGGCAAATCACTGTAATCACGCATGGGAATAGAAGCTAGATAGCAACAAGCAAGACATAAGATAAACCGCGGAAGGAAACTTTTCAGACTGTCAAATCATCAGGAGCGAGGACTAGATGTATATCGAAAACCTAGCCCGAGGAGAAGGGGGAAAGATCGTGAGAACAGAGATAAAAGAGGAGTGAAGATGAAAAAGAGGTCGGATGGGACAACCACCACCTTCCGTACTCGGCGTGCAATGCAGATGCAAGGTATTGTCCCAGGGTGACATCAAAAGAAATAAAATGTGATTTCAAAGAGACGTGTGCCGGGATCAATGGACGAGATGTATCCTGGAGTTCATCTGCACATCAGAGGCTTTTGTTCGGGTGAAAACAGTGGTTGCTTGGAGGGTATCGAGAGATCTATGCACGACCAGCCTGGCCACGACGGTTGCTGCGCTGCTTCGTGCCAACGGTGCTCCATCCATCGTCTTCTTTGGCGGGAGCGGCGGCGGTGGGAGCGGTGGGAGCAGTGGGAGCAGTGGGAGCAGTGGGAGCGGTGGGAGCGGGAGCCTCGGCGGCCCTCCAGTTGCCGTTGGCGGACTCCTTGGGAGCCTCCTCGGTAGCCGGGGCAGCAGCAGGGGTCTTCTCAGTGGCTTCCTCATCAGCAAGCACGCCCTCTTCACCATCAGCTCGTCGCAGAATCTCGAAGTTCTTGGCTCCCTGGGGGGTGTCGACGCCATCCTTGTTAGAATCGGTACCGGGGGTCTTGGCCTTGGCCTTCTCTGCTTTCTCGGTCTTGACCTTCTCATCGCTCTCCTTCTTCTGGCGAACAGCAAGCTGACGCTTCTGCTCCACCTCGCGCTCACGAGTAGCAGTGTCGATCGGGCGAGCGGCACCGAAAGGGCTAGCCTTGGAGTCACTGCCAGAGGTGGGTCCGGTGGGTGCATCAGCGACAGTGCGCTTGGCCAGGTTCAGCTTGGGACGAGTAGCAGGGGTAGCAGCAGGGTCAGTGTTGCTGGCCTCGTTGGCCTGGTCGGGGCGCATTCTAGCGCGCCACTGGTTGTCCATATCAGCAGCGGTAGGGGCGGGAGGAGTGCGCTCCGGGCGCGGGGGACGCGATCCATCATCCTGGGAACGACCCTCACCCCAGGCGGGGGAGGCTCTGCGGAAGCCAGAAGATCCAGGGCCATCGTTTTCGCGAGGACGACCACCCTCACGAGCGGGGCCAGCGGAGGGAGAAAGGGGGCCCTTGCGCTCCCAGTTGCCAAAGTCACGGAACTTGCCGTCACTCTCAAAGTTGCTACGACGGCCTCCACGGTCGCTGCCAGCATCGGAAGCGGCATCCATGCTGCGGCCAAAGCTGGAACGCTCAGGCACGCGGCGCTCAGGCGGGCCGGGAAGGGGACCGCGGCGGGTCCAGTCGACATCACGGGCTTCAAAGCGGGACTCCTTGGCTGCAAATCAATTAGTTCTTGAGGTGGTTGATAGATAAATCCATGGGGACTCACGAGGCTCTGCGACGCTAGTGCGGATAGTACGTCCCTGGAGGGAAGTGCCAGAGAGATCCAGGGCCTTCTGCAGACCCTCAACGGTCTCGAACTCAACATAGCCGAAACCCTTCGGGGCCTTGGTCAACTTGTCATCCACAATTCGGACATTGGTGACACCGCATCCAGAGAAAAGATCGGAGATATCATCGGCAGTAGCTTCGAATGACAGGTTGCCGACGTGGCAGGTGAAGGGAGGCTCGGTGGGGAGGTCGAGAGGCTCGCGAATGGAATATCCACCGCGCTCAATACGGTCTAAATCACACATGTCAGATATTGTCTCTTCCACACAGTGGCCATATCTTTCTTCAAAATTTTGAGGATCGTCATACCGGAGAAACCGCCACTGCCACCGTAGCCCATGCCGCCGGAGGGGCGGCTGGCACCAAAGCTGGAGGTTGCAGGAGCTGTTCAGCAGATCAGTCAGTCGTTCGAGTTACGAATCGGGGATCACGAGTGGTCATCGGTGCGAAAACATACCGGCTATAGAGATTGTCAGCAATGATCAACAAGCGTAGCGGGAATTTCTTTGACTTACATGGGAGGGGCATATCCTCCATCTCGTCGGCCCAAGAACCAAGGCCTTTTCGCAGTCAGTATGAAGATCATTTCGATGCCTGTAGTCGTTTGCGATAACTCACTCTCATCAGCCAAGAAGTTCCCGAGGGACATCTTCTGGGCCTTAGATTTAGCGGGCGCTGGTGGGGGAAAATCGTCAGCTGTGCTCAACCACCCTGAATGTGCCGAACAGCAAGAACACGCTGCTTCCAGTAGCACTCGGTCAAAGAAAGAGAGGGCACTACGAACCCATGATTGCGGTTGAAAGAAGTCAAGAAACGCGCGAGCGGAGTCTTGCGCGCTTCTCACACAGACGGGTTTGGAGAGAGAAGAGAGGGAAAAAAATTCGGAGACACCCGGTAAAAAGGCCAGGGGTCGGTGTAGGTGGATGGAAAGGATCAGAAGGATGTTCTGGTCAAGAGTCAGGATAACAGTCCACCGTGGAAAAGTTGGTTAGAGGGGAAGTCGGCAATCGGGACTGGCACCAAGCGGCCTTAGTTAATCCGTGATAATTTTTAGTTGAGTACGCTAGTCCAATCAGAGCCTCTCCCCTTGTATATTCACTTTCCCCGATCTTTCACCTTTTTTTCTATTCCTTTTTTCTCGGCTTCTTCGTCGAGGTTGGCATTTACTTCGAGGCTCTTTGTTCGCGACGCGGTCTGGGCGCTGAGTCCACTTAGATCTCTTCTTGATTTCGAGCTAAGGTAGATTTTTTGCCCGGATACCTTGTTAGTTTCATATCTTAGCTAGTTACTTCTAGCTAGTGGGGATTCCTCCTAAAATTTCAAGACAAACAGATCTTCGGTCATCTCACCTGATAGTCGCGATTCGCATTCATGCATTCGTGCTCCGTATACTGGCCTTGGAGGATCTTTTAACATGTCGATTTCAATAACATTCCTGCACTTGTGGGCTATTTCTCTCCGATTGCAAGATATATTGAGTTTAGGGCTCTGGGCGTGTGTCATTTGATTTGAAATGATAATGCTAGCCACCTAGGCAATAATTTTTGGCCTGGCCCTAAATGGTACCTGAGTGGAACCCACAGGATATATATGCTGAGGAAACCACAAGACAATCAACCCGCACAAATACACTATCTGGGCCAGATGAACTGAAATCCCCTAGAGACAAACCTGGAAGTTAATACAAACTGATACATGCGTCTTCTTCCAGATCAAGAAATAGAGATAACATTTGATGATAATAATGTCCCGTCCAGGGCCATCCGGGGGATTGAGATCATTACATAAGCAGTCACATGACCTGCACCTGCCATCAATTTAACGATCGCTTCGACTCTTCACTCTCGATCAGGGAATGCTCATGCGTCTCTCGGACCATTCGCAAAATGAGCGGTCAGAAAAGCACCGGCAATAGCACCGGGAGCTTTCTCGAGGACTCATTCTGGGCTTCGGCCAAGGTGGGAGGCTTGACTGGTTAGTCTGCTCTTCTCCAGGTTGAGGTTGAGGACACTTTGAGGAACGCGATCTCTGATAAATTTCATAGGAGCTGCGGGTATCATCTATGGCGGAGCCGCTGGTGTCATCAGATCCCGCCATCCTTTGGTGCACTCACTGGCGCACGGCATCCACTGGACTGTAGCCGGTTCAGCCTTTTGGTGTATGTCCAATGAGTCACTTTTTGTTTTTTGCTAATGACCGAATAAACTAATTGTGCATTGAATATAGTCCTACGAAGCAGTATCGTCCATACTTATTTCAATGATAAAGCCTCCCCTCAAGAGCGGGCATTTGCCAGTGCCCTTTCCGGTGGTATCTCCGGTGCAGTGGTAACTAGGGCTATGGGTATTGTTCCTTCCTGAACTATTCTCAACGTATGATTCTCATATTATTAATAGGAGGTCGCCCACTGCCTGGTCTCATTATATTTTCATTACTTGGCTATTGCGGTCAAAGTGCCTTCAACAGAGTTGATAGATGGCAGATGGAAATGGCCCAGAACCCTGGGAAGCCAATTCTCCAGCGGATGGCTGAATCTAAGTGGATTCCACTTCGACACTTGTCAGACGAGGACTATCGGGGCATTCTAGGCGAGAAGCTACTGAGCATTGAGGCTGAAATTGCTCTCCTGGACGAGAAGATCCAGGAGCTAGAGAACACCCGGCCCGCGCCTAAGAAATCTGACACCGACAACCCTGTCAAATAACGGAGGGTTCGATGCCCTACCCTACCCACCCCCGTCCTAGTGCTACTCTGCCCCTCGACGAGTTGGGTAATTGGAGGCCTAGGCAGCGCACGGACAGTGTCGTGCATAGAGCTTTTTAGACCCAAGCGTGTCAGACTGCGACCCCCCTTCAACAAGACCACCTATTCACGTGCACATGTGAACGGGGCGAAAATTTGTACAAATTCGTGATACCAAGTGTAATATAATTATTTCTGATCTTCTATTGCGTAAAGCGTCAATATGTCAAGATACTCCACCGTATAAGTTGCATAAAAATAGGGGGGCCGAATCAGAAAGCGCCGATCGTAGTCAAGAGAAAAAAAGGCCCCACGGTGGCTCTGCACTGTGAAATCATCAGGAGGTTCTCAACCCGAGCCCTTTGCACGAAACAGGGCTGGAAAAAGACAATTAAGCGAGCAGAAAGCCAGATGACAGTGATTCAGATATATAGAAACTTTAGAAAGTTGAGATAGAATAGTAGAAAAGATAAGAAAGAACATAGTGACGGATGCCGAGAAAAGCCGGTTTGGGAGGGAGATTAGCGTTCCGCTGGTGATTCTCCGGCGCGTCCGAACCATGAATCTGTCTTTCTCCAGACTCCACGTCGTGAACTTGATAGCTCCGACATGCTTCAGCTGCACCCTGTCATTCCCTCCAGTGTGCGTGGCACTGTATTTTGACATTGCGACTATCGGATTTCGTGGAGTTTCTTCCACGTCAACCGTTCGCTCCCCCCCCTCAAAGGTCAAAAGTTGGGATCGACAGTAGGAAGCTTACCCAGTGAACGGACGCAATTGATTTCGATCGTACGACACTCGATGTCTTGTGAGGCGCTGCTTCTTTCAGCTCGACAGATCAGCCCCTGCTGATCGCGATTCGCGATGACCCTCTTCAACCCGACCTCCATTCTCGTGGGATTCCTCCTGCTCTACCTCTCGTCCTTCTTCGTTTTCGCCATCGTTCGTATCGCAACCGGAATATCGATCCAGCGCATCGGATACTTCTCCCTCCGCCGCATCGCGTATACCCCGAAGGAAGGCTTACATATCGAAATCCGTGGTCTCGGGTTCTCGTTACACCCCCCGTCGTTTGCGCAGCCGACATGGATCAGTATTCGGTTGACGGATTTGAAGGTGACGCTTGATACGGCCACGCTATCCAAGGGAAAACCTGAACCATCCCGAGATTTGTTGGGATCACCAGTTACGGGCAGCCCTTCCCCCGAAGACAAAGCAGCCTTCGATCCGTCCACCCCGCGGAGCAAAACATGGAGGACCCTGACTCGGATAAAGGAGCGTCTCAAACATCTCCACAGACAAATTAATTGGCTTGCACTAGTCGACCTCAACGCCATCAATACCACCGTTGTCTTCCCCGATGCCGGTCAGATCCAGGTTGGGTCACTCGCGCTAACCGTGGACACCCGGAGCAAGATGGTGGAACGAGGCAAGCTCTTCCGTCGCAAGAAGGATATGTCTCGTGAACAGCGTCCGGCTGAATGGATTATGAACGTACAAAATGTCCTCCTTGCCGTCGATGGCCGCGACCCAGTTGAGATTCTGGACAACGTTGGTGTGAACCTCCACGGATTGCTCTACAAAGATCTGGAAGGTCTTCGGGATGCCTCGGTGGCGCTCAAAATTGGACGACTACACGTGCCATACGATGATATCCGATTGCTGATGCAACGCATCAAGTCGTCTCAGAAGCCGATGGAAAAGGAACCCACGATCAACGAGACGGATGATGAGATGTCCTTTGCGGACTTTGTGGAGGAACTGGATAAGCCTGGCAGTCGCGACGATACAATTGTTCAGACAGTGGCAGATTCGAAGGAGTTCGCCAGCTCTCTTCTTCGTGGTATTCAAGAGATCCAGGTAGCATTGAGTTTCTTTCGTCTCTCCCGTGGTCTCGAATCCCTTTCCGCTGGTCAAAATCCCGTTTATCTAAATGTCGTTTCACACGAGATTGGTGTCGATCTTCACCGAATGGATCAGAAGAGCCCAGAGCACCGCATGTACTTCCAGCGAAATGATGTTGCCCACCAAGCACTGCTCGCTGCCATCTCCCTTTCTGTCAGCTTGGATGATGATTCCGGAGAGACTGACAACATTCTCTACATTCCCATGGCCACGACAACCATCAAAACTACACTACCGGCGAAGACCGTGAGTGCTTTTGAAGAAGCAAATGCGGAAGAGCGCAACTCCAATGTTTTCTTCGCCAACCTCGTTATTACATCGCCCTCTCTCGACATGCAGCCCCAGCATGTATCTCGACTCTTGAAATTGGCACAGGCGCGGGCGTCTTATCCTAGGTCAAAGAAGCGAGACAACCACCGTCTGATTTCTCGCTTGCTGCCAAAGGCAAGCATCAAGCTGTCTGTCCATGAACCAGTTCTTCGATTTGTCTTGCCTATCGAAAAAGATTCCGGCAAACCCGACGACTACAATCTCCTAATCTCCTCCATCTCTTCAATTTCGCTTGACATCGAATCTTCTCATTCTTCTGAGGGAGGCGCACACTATTCTCTGTCGGCTGTCTATCGGGTGGCGTCTCATAAATTTTACTACCAGACACCTGCTGGTAACAAGCACAATCTGTTGACGACCGAAAATATGGAGCTCAAAGCTCATCTCAATGCGAGCCCGGAACTGTGTGTCATTGCCTCGGGAAGCTTGAACGAGTGCTCAGTACACATGATCAATGGTGAAGTCAACCGAGGAATCCGACAAGTCCTTGAACAATTTCGAACACATCTGCAGCCACAGAAACGGGCTGCAATGCCGTTTGAACGCAAGACGAGCCCCCTGCGGCGAATTCCGCCATGGCTACTTCAATTTTCATTCGAGTCCACAGGCTTCAGCTTGGAAGTCGCTGGTGTCGACAGTACTGTCTCCGAAATCTCCCGCGGTGTTTCTCTG